GCTACTGAACCAAGCCGCCGGTGTTGGTTTCAGTGGTGCGGGGGCTTTTATCGCCCGGCGGCGCTGCCGCGCTAGTGTGGCAGCGCCGGGGGAGGCGGGGTGGATGGTGCCGTTGCAGCGCGCCCAGGCCCCTGCGTTGGGGACCCCGCTGGATTGAGCGCCTCCTTCATCCCCGCAAACCTCGCGCGCATTTTGTTTGGTATTTAGTTAGTGTCTTAGGGTGCGTTCTGAACGTAAGGATGGCGAAGATGTAGGGTGAAATTTGGGTTTTCTCTGAAAGATGTGTGGGGGCCTGGTTGGCTTCTTGAGGGGGCGAGGGATAAAAGAGATAAGGCTTCTCTGATGTGTTGGGTTGTGAGAGGATGTAGGGGTATTTGTATCCTTATTGCTATTACTATGTATTAACTTCTAGTTTTTTTTCTGTGCGGTTATACCGTTTGCTGGAGGATGCGAATGAAGGATGTAAGGCTCATTATATTATTATTATTTTGTTTCTCTTTTTTTTTGTGTGTGTGTTTTTCCGCATTTGCCTGCATGCATGTTGGCTTCGTGTTTGGCGGCATCCTTTCACACACACATACATGATGGTGTGGCGTGCATGCACACTAACAGCAGCATTCAGTAGCGTCTGTGATAGATTCATTGCGTATCTTGAGTACATGCGTGGAGTACAGTGAGTAGGGTGACTAGGAAATAGTAAAAAAAGAGAAGCAAGAAACAAGCGTTCTTTATTGTTGCGGAAGAGCGTGAGAGAGGCGTGCAAAAGAAAATAAACAGAACAACATCAAATGCCACAGCCGCTGCAGGAGTTGTTGAGGACTAGGCAGGCACTAGAGATCATCCCCGGGGTGCTGTACTTCGCCTCGTTGGGTGAGAAACTGCAGTCGATTAGGGGGCATGGCGCTGCCACGACCTCGTCGTCGTCGGCATTAGCCTCCCGTGCCGCGCTGGCAGCATCGACGGCTGAGTTTCTGGAAGGGCAGCGTCAAACGCCGCAGGAGGAAGAAGGCGGGCACAGAGAGTCACTGCGCGGACTACCTCCCACAGCGCATACAAATGTTTGTTGCATGCGTTCAGATGTCACTCGTTCCGTTCTTTTACGCCAAGTGCTTCAGCTTGACAACAACAGTGACGGCACATATGGCGGCGAGTTTGCGCACGGAGCCTTTTACTTCTCCGTGAACGAGGACCCGTCGTTTCAGTATCGCCCCTTCTTTGCGGACTTTGGGCCGCTGGGGCTGGACGCCGTGACGCGGTTCTCGCGTTGCCTGGAGAGGCTTCTGGAGTGCTGCGTCGCGTACGGTGGGAGCGCCAACAGCAACAGGAGGACAGAGTTTGGGCCGCACAAGTTTCTGAGTGGCAACGGCCTGTGGCACCGCAGGCTGTCCGCGCCGCCCAGCCTCCCCATTGTATTTTGTAGCGGGTTGGACAACCACGAGCGCGCCAATGCGGCGTGCTTGCTTGCCTGCTTTTGCGTGGCCACACTGCGTTGGTCAGCGGCGGCGACATGGCGCGTGTTTGAGTCCCTCTACCCCCCGATCATTCCATTCCGCGACGCGAGCTGCAGTATGTCCATGTTTCCGCTGGTGATATCAGACGTCATCGCAGGCCTGGAAAAAGCCATCGCGTTGGGGTGGTACGACGTCTGCACCTTTGACCTCGCTGAGTACGAGCGACTGCAGCGCTACAACTGTAGTTGGGTCGTGCCACACGCCTTTCTCGCCTTGTCTTCGCCCGACAACCACGTTCCTGAGCGCACCGCCGAGGTGTACGCCAAACTCTTTCAGAAGCTGAAAATAACGCACCTGGTGCGGCTGAACGAGTCGCTCTACCGGCGAGAGACGTTCCTGGCGAACGGGGTGCAGCACTTCGACCTACTGTATGCCGACGGCAGCGTCCCGACCGACGACATCATCAACCGTTTTTTGAATCTTGTGGAGCCAGTTTTGCTGCCGCTGCAGCGGGCGAAAAGTGAACTGGAACGGAGGGTGCGTACGGCGCCGCCGCTGCAGCGGCGTCAAAAAGGCACGCGGCTGCGTCAGCAGGCGGATGCGAGGGCCCACGGCAGGGGAGGTGCGGTTGCGCTGCACTGCCGCGCCGGCCTTGGGCGAACAGGAACGCTGATATGTGTCTACATGATGCGGCACTTTGGACTCACTGCACGGGAAAGCATCGGGTGGATTCGCCTGTGTCGCCCAGGGAGCGTCATGGGCGTGCAGCAGGGATTTCTTGAGAGGCTGGAGCGGCGATTGTCGCGTCCTGTGAGGGACGCCGAAATGCTCTGCGCCGAGCAATCTATACAAGTCTGTTTTTTTTGCCCCGCGGATGCCAGCAGCAACTGTACGTGTCAAATTCATACTCCTCAACAAGTGTCAGTCACGCCCCCCTCGCCTTGGCACCTTGCGGCAGACGTGGAGGAGACGCCAGGTGACACGGCCTCCGCGCCGCCAGGACATCCACGCATGTCCTCCGACGAACGAAGGCTACCAGCAGGCGGAGAGGAAGCACTGCTCGTCCTGCCACGAACTCTACGATCCCTGCGTTTATCCTCCCCCTTATGTCTGACTGCGATGTCGACCATACCCCGCAGAAGGCAGGAGAACAGAGAGGTCAACACGGAGGGGCAGGCAGCGGAGACTGGGGGGATGAAGGGTCGTCACAACAGCTACACCGGCGTTTCCTCATCCCCCTTGTTGCCGTTATCACCTTTGCATTCAGCCGTGTTCACACCGCGGAATTTACCGTCTACGAGGGCCGCAAGCTTCACAGCACCCAACATAAATGCCGGCGAACGTCCTCCACAGCTCCTAAAGGGAGGACACAGACACGCACAGGATGCTGCGGTTAGAGCCAGCGGTAATCATGACATCTCAAGCGTAGACAATGGTCGTTTGTTACGCCGGCCAACTGGGGCTGAGACTTTAGTTGGAAACAGCTCCAACTTCCGGATTTCTCCTGTGAACGGCACCACTGCGCGGGACTTGTGTGTCTCAACGGCCTTGGCAGCTTCCGTCGAATCCACGCCGTCGGTGGCACCACAGATGCAGACGAAACGCCTCATCATAGTTGCCAGGAAAGCTGCAGCTGCAGCCGCAGCAGAAGCCTCATTGACGGACCCCGGCTGGGGAGCGGTCGCGGTGCGGTTAGAGCCATAGGGTGGTGATTACATCCAACTAACCCCCTACTTGTGTTATGTACTTCGTTTACAATTCAAATAGTCATCTTCGTTGCTACACCGTTTTATTTATTTTTTTTATTTTTATTTTTTTTATTTTTTATTACTATTGTGTGTATATATATATATATGCATATATATATCGCTGTGATTCACTGTTTCTCTCCCTTCTTGGGGCACTGGCAACTCGCAGCTGTGTTTTACCTCTTTCTATCTCGCTGCCGTTGTTCCTTCCACGTGTGTTATGTATGTAGATATATATATATATATATATATATATAGGAAAAGAGGGGGAGTCATGACCACGCTTTCAGAAGATGATAAATTGTTGTTTGTGGCGGCGAGGGAGGCGCAGTTGACACGCAATGAGGCGGTGCAAATCATCATGTCGGATGTCCCGCACAACGTGCTGCACGGGGCATTCATTCGGGTTCTCTTAGAGCTGCAAGATCGCCGCGAGGACTACATTGTGGCACGCGTTGGTGCGATTACCACGGGTGAGGTCTACGGTGGCTTCTCCACCAATGCAAACATTAGAACCGATCACTACCTGGTGCTGCAACTGCCACCGCACCTTGCACAAATCAACGGGACGCAGTACCAGTTGAACAGCATCAGCAACTCCGCCATGACGGAGATGGAGTTTGCGCGATGGTTAGAGATGGCACAGGCGTCACCGCCGCCACCGCCGCCACCGCCGTACAACGGCGGCGAGGGGGGGGCGGTAGCTGGGTCGCCGATTCCAACGCGGCAAGAGCTTGTCCATGTCGCCCGGCGTTTGCGTGGCGTTCTTGGCGGCGGGGCACGGCACGGAGCGAGCGTGCACCGTCAGCGGCAGCCCAATCAGGTACAACAGTGCCCGCATCCGCACCTGCACAACGCTATGCCGCCAAACCCCCCAGATGGCGTGCAGCAGGTGCTTTCCACGTCGCAGAGCCAACTCGCACCGCAGTCCGGTAGTAACCATTGCACCTTCGACTCCGCCGAGTTTCCGGCGGACCCGGCCTTCCATAACTGTGCCGTGGCCCAGTTCAAGCGGCAGGGCACCCTGGCCTCGTTGAACGCTGCCACCGCCAGAAACTGTGGCAACCATAGTACTAATAACAATAATAACAGCAGCAGTACTGGCACCAGCGGGGTTGAGGTCAGTGGCAGTGGTGGTCAAAAGCGTTTTTTCCACGGAGGCGCCTCCCCACGACCCCTGTCGCTCCAAGCACACAGTGCCGTGGATCTTACTCTGGCGGAGCAGGAGTTTGAGTTGCCCGATTACCGGCAGATTCGGCAGGATATCATCAACAAAATGAGTCAGACCAGCGTGCTGTTTCCGACAAACATCAATGAGCTGAAGGTTTCACAGCTGCGGCTGACGGAGCGTGACATGATTGAGTACCTGGAGCACGTGCGTGAGGCCATCTTGAGTAAGCAGGACAACTGTGTGGTGTGCATGGACCACGTTCCGACGGTCATTTCACTGCCGTGTCGTCATAAGGTGCTCTGCAGGTTGTGTGCCCCGTCGGTGAGCACTTGCCCTGTGTGCCGCAGCCAACTGTTCGAGCTCTTCGAGCCGAAGGAGATCTAGCAGGGAGGGGACGAGAGGGCAACAATGACAACGACGACAACAAGAGAATTAAAAAACAAAAAAACAAATAGTTGTATACAAAAACAACAACGAGTTTAGAAGATGTGACATGCCACAGCGGGAAGGAAAGCTGCATGCGTGGTGCGTCTTCCTCCTCTCTATCTCTCGGATCTCTCTTTCCAAGCCTTTTTTGCTTCGCCACGGATTCGTTGCCGTTGGTGCCACTATGGATGTTTGCCCTTTTTTCTTTCTTTCGTTTGGCTGGTTGGTTGGCTGGGGCTGCAGACAAAAAGAGGAATGCGTGGGTAAAAGACGGAGGAGGGATGGCAAACGGAGGGAACAGATGTGCTGTTTTCTTGTATTTGTGCCCCCTATGTGGGCGACAGCACGCACATCCACAGACTGAACTCGTTTTCCACCGCGCTCTACACGTTGTGCCTTACATCTGCATGACGCGTCTTTTGCCGGCGGTGCTGCGCTTCGTACTAACTGCGGGGTGGGGGGGTGGGAATAAATGTATGCATTTATATGGTGTCGGTGGGCGGGGGGAAGGAGACGGAAAGAAAAGGAAAGAAATACAAAAAAAAAAAAAGAGAGAGAGAGAGAGAAAAAAAAAAGCTTTCGGAGTAAACTGGTGGGGTGGTAGGCAGTGGTGACGCAGTTACCGCCCACAGCCTTCGGTAGTAACAGGAAGAACATAGTCAACAGTGGCGTGCAGCGTTGGACTTTCTCCTCCGTTTCTCTGCTTCAACTTATTCCATCTGTCTCTGTGGGTGTGGCGCACTTAGTTTCTTCGCACCCCTTGGGGGCCGGCTGGGTCATCCGTGACGACAATCTCACAAGGCAGAGTGCGAGGAGGTAGAAAGGTAGAGAGAGAGAAAGAAAGAGAAAGAGAGAGGCATTGCTCTGCAAGGTGTGCCCTTGTCACTGCGTAGATCACGCGCATTGCGGTTGGACGTACCTTGACGTGGTGAGTTGCATCCACGCATGACGCATGAAAATGGCGGTACCGCTGCTGATCCCGCCGCCACCGCCGCCGCTGCCGTTTTCGCGGCTCCCTCTGACTTCAACGCACCGTCGCTACCAAAAGGGATGGATCCGGTCTACTACGCCCTAAGCCTGCTGCGTCGCCGTCGGCTGGAGGAGTGCATCGCCGTTTCGACGCACTACCTTGCAGTCCTCCACGAAACGATGCTTCAGACGTCGCCGACGCAGCAGCAACAGGCAGCTGGTGGGGCTGAGGCGCTGCGGTTTATCCAGACAAGAGCGCTCATTATGCAAAACTGGTTTGACGAGCTCGATGTGGAGGGCGACGGCGTAGACGAGGTGTTGCTGGATGGGGAGCAGACCGTCGCCTCCACGGCGCATCGCCCCGGCACTTCCCTGCAGCGGCCTGGTCGTTCAGCAGGGATGCGCACTGCAACAGGCATGGCGCAGTGGCGGGACACCGCACGTCCCACTAGTAGTCGCTATGGATATGCGCGACCCGGAACGCAAAGCAGAAAGCGTCCAGGCACAGTCTCCGCGCGCCCATTCACGTCAAGAATGATGCGCATTGGAACGGCGTCCCTGCAGGCTGTCTCTGATGGTCCTCACATTGACGTGCAGAAGTTGAACCTGGAGCAGTACGGTCGGGGGACGCCTGTGGTGGCGAAACTTCTCTGTGACTTTTTGCTGTATGTGGAACACCGGCCGAGGATGGTGCTGGAGCTTGGGAGCATCGCCCTGGAGCGACAGCCAAAGGACTGGTGGTGGATGTCGCGTATGGGGCAGGCGTACTACCGCCTGGGTCTTCTTCGCGAGGCGGAGCGGCAGTTCAAGGCAGCGCTTGCCATTCAAGAGAACGTGGCCGACGTCATGCGGCTCGCCAAGGTGTTTATCAAGATGGATCAACCCCTCACAGCCATGGAGGTGCTTTCTGACGCCTCAGAGAAGAATTGCATGGACCACCAAATTCTTCTCCACATGGCACGTCTGTACGACCAGCTACATGATACAACAAGGTCGTGCCAGTTGTACCGCCGTGTGCTGCAGCTGGACAGCAGCAACGTGGAGGCAATCGCCTGCATTGCGGCGTACATGTTTTACGACAAACAACAACCCGAGGTTGCATTGCGCCTGTACCGTCGTCTGTTGCAAATGGGGGTGCAGACGACGGAGCTCTGGAACAATCTGGGCCTATGCTGCTTTTACAGTTCCCAGTATGACATCGCCCTCAGTTGTTTGCAGCGCGCGATAGCCACTGCAACAGAGGACGGGACGTTGGCTGATGTGTGGTATAACGTTGGGCACGTGGGCATTAGCACCGGTGACTTGGGCCTCGCCCACCGTGCCTTTAAAGTCGCACTCAGCACCAACCCGCACCATGCGGAGGCACTAAACAACCTTGCGGTGCTGAAGCTGCGTATGGGACAGGTGGAGCAGGCCGTGAACGATCTCGCCATGGCCGTCGAGATCTCGCCGGAGCAGCATGAGCCTCTGTACAACTTGGCTCTTCTCTCGTTTAGGGCGGGGAATTTGGGGCGGGCGTACAAACTCCTGGAGCAGGCGTTGGAGGTGTGTCCGGACCACCCGGAGAGCGTTGAGCTCCAGGCAGCACTGCGGACATCGTTAGCGACGCTGTAGCTAGGGATTGTTGCTGCCGTGAACCTGTGTCTTTCTGTCCGCGACTGTCTTGCATGGTGTTGTGGGAGTTGGCATGTATGTACTTGATCCTCCCACCCAATGTTGGTGGGCCTCAAGTATATGAGGCGGGGAATTGAACGGAGAGGAAAGGAAAGGGGTTGGGGAGAGACGCCCACACGTAGGGTGTCATCTCGGAGGGTGTGTGTGTTGTGCCTTGTGGTTTGCCGCCTTGAGTGGGCACAGCAGGGATTAGAAAAAAAGAGGGAAGGTGCTTCTTATTCTGCTCTTACTTGTTGCAGTTGCGTCTTGCTCGTGTGGCTACTGCTGAATTTTCCTTCTTTTTGTGCAGAGAAGCAGCCGAAGTGGGCGGATCGGGGAAGCAGAAAAGGAAGGAAGGAGGGAGGTGATCCCGGACGCAAACAAAAAAAAAAGAGGAAAGAAAGAAAGGAGGAGGAGGAAGACGGTCAACGACATGTATCATGGATCAGAGGAGGAGCTGCGCGCTGCGGAAATGACGGGTCGCGTGTACGACAATTTGTGCACGAGCACGCCTCTAGAGCTGCACGGTATTCGCCAACTGCACACCAGCCACATCGGCGGCGCCTCACTCGACGGGGAGGAGGAGTCGACGTGCGGCAGCCACAACACTTCCACCGCGCAGCCGTCACAGCGGCGACGCGTGGGCGGGGCGCATCCTGCACCGCAGCATATCTCCGGCGTGCACGCCGTGGTGGAGGTGGCGCGGCGGGAATCCGTCCTGCGGCAGTTGTACAACGACAAGCTTCGCGGTAGCATCAGTGCCATTGTAAGTGCCCTCATGAACGAATTGCCGCGAGATCACATCTTCCTGCAGCTTCTGAGTGACCCAGCGACCGAGCAGTACTGTCGCGTACGTGTGGGAGAGGTGGTGGAGAGTTTTCTCTTCTCGGTGCAGGCGCATCAGTACCACAACCTTGCCTCGGAGCTGGCGAAGCGGGAGGTGGAGCTCTTGACGCTCGCCGGGCAGCTGGAGGAGGCGCAGCAGGCGAATGTGAATGCGTCACCACCGGTCAAGTCCTTCAAGACCACCCAAACTGACAACCGCACCGACGCGGGGATGAATACGGAGTACTCCTCCCACCTGGCACGAGGTGAAGGCGATGTGGAACCGACCGAGGCGACGGCGCAGGAGGAACTTATCGCGCTGCTTGAAGATGTGACACGTGAGCATGAGCTCGCAAAGTGTCGTGAATGCCTCTCCGCCCCCACGTCGCTGCTAGAGACTGTGCAGGCGGAGGGAAACTATCGTGACAAGTACGAGTACCTCGCCGATGTTGTGGGTCACCTCTTCCGCTCTGTTCAGGGGCTTGTGGTATACGCAGACGGGTCGCTCAACAGCCTGGAGTCGCTGCGGCACAGCCTCCACGGTGTGTGGAGCTGCGACGACAAGAATGCGGGCGAAGCCGGGGCGCAAGCCGCGTTGCGCCGCACGTCCCTGCCAGCTTCTTCCGTCGCAGCAGGGGGTTGCCCCTCCTCTTCCACCTCCGCCACCGCTGCCACGTCACCCTTGCAGCAACGGGCGGCGATCTTTGAGGAGGAGCGTGCCCGACTAGAGAAGCTGGCGGCACAGTTAAAATACGCGCAGCGTCACTGTGGCGATATTATTGAGAGTCTTGGCAAGTCCCAGATGGAGCTGCAGCGGCAAAGCGATAGTCGTCAGCAGCAGCTGGAGCAACTCCAGCAGCTAGCCGCAAGAAACAATATGCAGGAGTTAAGTAAAGCCCTAAAGGCAAATGAGGAGGCCTTAGTGCGACTCCGTGAGGATATGCAACAGTCTTTTGCTGCCGAACGAGCCCAAATACGGGCGCGAGAAAGGGAATTAGAGCAGCGGTGTGCCCAACAGGCATTTGAACTACAGCAGGTGACAGAAGAGCTGGCGTTAGGGCGGCAACAGCTGCAAAGGGAGGTGGAGGGGCGCTGCAAGGCAGAGCAACGGATGCAGATAGCGGAGCAATCGGTAGCTGAGGCGCGGCAGCAATGTGGTGTCACTGTTTCAGAGCTTCACCGTGACCTTGAGGCTGAGAAGGACGCACTGCAGGAAACACTGCGCAAGGTGCAAGTAGAGCTCATCGCACGCCACGCGGAGGCGGTGTGTGCGCGGCAGGAAAGTATTGCGCTAGATGCCCATGTCACAAAAATGCAATTTTTGCTGGTACACGGCTACGAACGTGCTGCAGCAGAGCAGCACTATTCCCTGTTGCTGGCACAGGAGGCGGTCCGGCACGCGAAGACGCAGGCTGCGGCGGAGCAGAAGGCGCTGCGGGAGCAGGAGTCAACCGTGCAGCAGTGCTACGAGGATCTTCGTTTCCTGCTGGAGTGTATGCGGGAGGATGACTACAAGGCGGAATTGCAGCAACGCGAGGAGGAGGCTGACACGGAGGCACGTCGATGCCGCGTCTTTGTTGATAAGAATATCGATGGTAGCCGTGTAGATAAGAAGAATGGAGATTGCAGCGATGGGGCTCATGACAAGGTTGCAGAGGAGGAGGTGGTGGAGGTGGAGGCCGGTGGTCGGACGCAGGCGCTGCTTCACCGCTACAGCACGCCAAAGACACTCACTGGCGTTGTCACTGCCCTACAAAATGCCTACGAAACGGTGCAGCGTCATCAGCGATACATGCAGAGCACGGTGGACGCTGCAAGCATGCGTGAGCGGCAGCTGCAGCAGGAGGGTGACACGTTGCGCGTGCGGCTGGAACAGCTGACGGCTGACTACGAGCAGCAGCAGGCGAAGTTCAAGCAGCTGTGGAACGCGCAAGCGATGTGGGAGCGACAAGATACCCTAAAGGGGTTGCTTGCAAAGCAAGAGGCGCTGTTAGCCACCGTGAACGTGGAACGCGAGGCACTGCAGGTACGGTGGTCCGCGCTTAGCGAAGAGTACCAGGCCCTGGAGCGCCGTAATTCGCAGCTGCACGAGCGATGTGCAGTGAAGGAGGCGGAGAACGCGCGACTGTTGGGGTACCTGCGAGCCAAGCAGATGACATCCGCGTCGTCGTCGTCGTCGTCACCGCCGTCCTTGCAGCAGCCGCAGTTGCCATCGACAGAGGTTTTGCACGAGACACCTGCCGACGGCGCAGCGGGATCGTCAGTTCGGCTCGCGGCGGAGCGAACGCCGGAGGAGAAGGCAGCGCTGGGCAACTCGCCAGAGGCGCGGCGGACAGAGACGCACACGCTGCCTAGACACCGCGGCTCACGGGGATCGTCCAGTGCCCCAGGTCTCAGCGGGCACGCACAGACGCCATGCAGCAGCGTGCTGGAGGAGGAGGTCGGCGTCGGTCATAGTGCAATGGGGGTGGTGATTCCACTCGGACAACTCTCACGCGATCGAGGTGCGTGGCGCCCGGTCTGCCGTCCTGGGAGCAGCGCCCCTGCGGCAGCCACCCCCACCGCAGCTGGGAGTGCGGAGGTGGGAGAGGGAATGGATGGTGCAAATTGAAGGGATTAGAATAGATGCCATGTGTGGCGTCGGTGAAATGCGAGGGATACGTGATATTATATATATATATATATATATATATAGGTATACATAGATAGAGGGGGAGATGCTGCGTGGATTGCCGTGTTGAGGTGGTGGTCATGGCTCTATTGGGCTGTTCCCCTCCCCTCACCTCACCTCACCTTTTCCGCATATGCGCCCATATACGTGCGTACATGCATTTTTATTCTTTACTTTTATTTGTACTTTTTTTGTATGCAGAACGAAGCACGCAGGAAAAGAAAAACAAAACACACACAAAGGAGTGTCGAATGAATCGTGCCAGCTCTGCTTGCAGCCTTCTCCTCTGGGTGTCTTTTTGTGATGTTTTGGCTTTGATGTTTTTTCCAAGTTGTCTGCCTTATTTTTTGTTCTCATTGTTTTGCTTTTTTGCTGGGGGGGGGTCGCATGTAAAACAGACGTGAAGGAGAGAAGTAAGAAGAAAGGAAGAGGAAGAGGAAGAGAAGTGGGGCAAGATACATATGCCCTCCGCCTCCACGTTCCGCGTCGAACCGCAGGAGCAGAAGGGCGGACAGGCTGCCGTGGCGTGGGAGAGCACCCGCGCCTACCTGGACCACGCGTGCGTCCCGCTGCTGATGGAGGCGATGGCCGCCGTCTCGCGTGCGCGTCCTGATGACCCGATTGACTACATTGCCCACTACCTGCTGCAGCACAACCCGAATCGCCACAGCTTGAACTCAACTTCCGGGCGGCGACCCACATGAGATGCGGCGCAAACTCCCCACCCCGTTTTTTTTCTTTGTTTTTGTTGTATCGGTGTGTCCCTCCCCCCATTGTTTTTTGTTGTATTCTTCTCGCGCTGCATCCCTCATACATGATGCAACTCCACGCCGTCGCACTGCTCCGCGTCCCACCCGTCACTGCCTCGTACGCACTTTCTCTCTCTCTCTCTCTGTGTGTGTGTGTGTGTATTTCTTAATTCGTGCGTGCGTGCGTGCATACACATGCGGCTGTGGGTAGTGTTTTGCGTCTTGTACTGCTGGCATTATTCCTCCCGCGCAGGCGTACACAGGCACTGCCCCACCCGCGGGGCGGCCACTATATAAAATTATCACCTGTAAAATCTGTCCTTGCGAGGACACGTGTGTGTATACGTACATAGTTGGCGTGTGAATTGGGTTGTTGTTGTTTTTTTTTATCTTTTGCTCGCATTTGCGCTTTGGTGGGGTGGCAGGAGAGAAAAGAAGCACACACACACATACAAAAGAAAAAAAACGCACACACAGCAGGGAAGGCTGGAGAGTAAATAGTTATGCGCATGTCCTCTCAAACGGGCGCGTCTGCCACCGCCGCACAGACAACGAATGCCACGCTGGTGGCAACCGTCTTCCAGCACAGCCTAGACGACCTGCTCCTCACGGCAACGCGGCAACGCACAATGAGCCCGCTGCGTGACGCGGTGCAGTCTGCACGCATTAAGGGCTTCACTGCGGAGGACATCTTTCACACATTTGTCCTTGCTTGTGACATGCTGCATGGTAGACGGCAGTATCGCGCGCTTCTCATGCAGAGTCTCAGTGACTTGGGTAAAATAGCCTCGCTGCGAATGTTACCCACGTCATGCAGCGTTGTTCATATTGTCTGTCACCTTGTACAGAAGCTGCTTGGGCGTGCGTTGAGCGGTAATGTCAACCTGTTGCAGGGTGGTCTTCGCAGCACAACGGTGTGGGAACGGACTGGCATGGATAGTCTTTCCAATACCTTGATATTGGAAAGAATGGCTCCGCCGGATGCGGAGTTGCGTGAGGGGTCTTTTTCTGCGACTCTTGGTAGTAGCGAGGCCGCGATGGATGCGCAGCCACCAGACGAAGAGCTGCAGATGCGCATCTTGCAGACACTCATGGCATACCTGTCGGCCTGTGAACTCGGGAATGCCGCGCTGTCGGATATTATTAGTATTATCTTCATTATGTACATGCAGGCAGCACCTGAGTCCCTAGTGGAGGCGACGTGTGCGGCCACCATTGAGGAACGCACGCAGGCGTTGCTTCGTTGCCTGCGTAGTGGTGGAGATGCCAAGCAGGTGGAGGACGACAATGCTGCCTTCACGGCGCAGATTCAGGCTGTGGCTTACGCTAAGGATGTGTGTGCGCTCTGCTCTGGTGCCGCGCCCAAGTGGCTGAAGCTAGACCTGCAGCGTAACAGCTTCACGGGGCCACCGGATGTTAGCGCTGTGGCCGCGGTGACACCACCACGTCGACTACGTCTCCTGCTTTTGCGAACGCTGATTACCCACTTTGCGGAGGGTGAACGGATTACTTCATTGCATGAGACCAGCGTCTTTCTCACGCAGCTGCTTAACGAGGACGTGGTGTCTGTGGTGCTAGGTCGTGGAATGCGATTGGCTCCGAACGCGCAGCGACCGCTCGGTGAGACGAATTTAGAGCATCTGGAGGAAATGAGCCTGGTGGACCTTGTTTCCTTCACAGATGAACGCCCAGACGCTGAGGAGTTTTCTCTAATGCAGCAGCTTGGGGTCGTGGTGCTATCCAAGGCGCTACCGGTGATGCGGCACGCCATGCCGATACTCCTGCGCCACCACGTGGTGCTTGTGAAACTCTGCACTGAGGAGGACACCGGGGAGGTTGGGGAGAACGCTCAGCACATGGCGGTGGTGCTGACGTTGTGGCGAAAGGCCATTGCGGACCATGAGCTCCTGCAGCAGCTGCTTCTGCTTACCGTTTCCAGTAGTGTCTTGCTTCCAACTAGGCTTTCAACCGCCTCACTACCGGGGCCAACATCATCACAGCGGCCAAACAACAATCAACAACGAGCGCCGCTTACACGGCGACAAACACGCGCGTCTGAAGATGACGCTGCACCCATGTTACTGGAACCCTTTCCCGACCGTGATGATGTGACGGCGGAAAGCGCCAACGGCATGTACCCCTTTGCAGACCTGGTCACTCTCACTGCAGAACTTCTCTCTGACATCATTATTGCCTCGGAGGGGATGCTGAATCTGGATCATCTCAAGGCGACCAAGGATAGGGGTTGTCCCGCTGCCGCTGCTGCGAGTGTTGTGGAAGGTGAGAACCTCCGTGGGGCCCTCTCCATCGCTTTTTCTCGCCCCTTGCAGCTTTCGAGTACAGTCAAGATGGCGAAGGATCGGGAAAACGGTGAAGGCTCCTCACAGTTGCGTGTGCTGGCAAACGGTACGGAGGAGCGGCATCCGGCGACGGGGCAGGCGGCTGACGTGCTTAGCTTCCTTACAATGTTCACGCAGAGCTTTGCCCGGGTGGTGGAGGCGTCACGGCTTGGGGATGCCATGAGTGCGGTGCATAGTCGTGCCGCCTACGCCGACGCGCAGGCGGCGGTGACGGCCCTTTTCATCTCGCTGCACTCTTCGCTCCTGCGCTGCTTTGGCCTTGCAGCCCAGCACCTTCAGGGGGATGACGTGATTCACATGATCCTCAAGGGCATCACGCACCTCGTGCAGACCTCCTGCAACCTTGACTTACCTGCCCAGCGTGACAGTTATCTGCAGATTTTTGTGACCCGACTCTGCATGCCGACCTCGCGGCCTCTCTTGGAAGGCGAGGCGATGAGGACGCATCAGAGGAAGCACGTTGCAGAGGAGTCCACGTCACCCGCACAACCAACCGGATCTCCGTCGCTTGCAGGACGTGGTAGAAAGTCGCCAGGTAAGATGACACCGAAAAAGCATCCTTCCACTGCCGCCGCCGCTGCCGCCCTGCATCGGTCGCTAGAGGGACTGCAGGATAAGTTTTACGTTCTAAACTGTGTGATCTCCGTTGCAAACTCCATGGGTGCCTCCCTTGGCGAGGGGTGGCGGCCTGTGGCCTCCTGCCTACTGTTGACAGAACCCCTCCTAAAGGAAGTTCATCGCCTGCTGGAGCAGCAACAGCGGCAGTCACAGTATGACGCTGTGGACGACATTGCGCTTCAGGATATCTCGCGAAATGCAGATCGCGTCCGCGATGCGTTGCATCTTCTCTTTATTCACACCGCGTTGCTGCCAGACGGGGTGGCGTTGGATGGCCTTTTGAAGAGCTTTGTCACGGAGACCTGCCGCCGGCCCGCGTCCAGATACATGCTCTCACTACGCATGAGCAGTGAATGTTGCGCGCTGGCACTCCTGACGGTTGCAGCCTGTCGTCCAGATGTCTCGCTTGCACTGCTGCGGCGGCTGTGGAGTACGGTGAAGGAGCTTTATATGCACGTATTTGACCCTGTAAATCTTGTGGAGTTTGTCGACGCCTGTCGTCATTCCGACGGTGCGATGGAGACGGCAGCAGGAGTGCTAGAAAGACTTGTGGAGGATGTGGCGGTTATGACAGCGCAGCTCTGCCTGCGCGTCAGCAGCAGCGTTGATGAAATGAAGGTGGAAAAACGTGAAGGTCAGCTACAGCAGCGGCTGCGGCTAGGAGGGGAAAAGGGGGGGGTGCTGGGGTTGCGGTTTGCGGCGGGGCCGTATGCCACGGCAGCTCTAGTGGTGCGGCTGACGTCCTTATTTCCGTCACCCGCGCAAATTCAGCAGAACCTGTCTCTCACAGGTTTTCTTACATGCCACACGAGCAAGGCGGCGGAGGCGGATACCCAGACAGAGCGAAGGGAACTTCTTGCCGCGCCAACAGAACTCCTCGCCACGATTTACGGAAACCTGCAGCAATCTCAGCAACGGCGGGAAGAACCGCAGGGAAATGCAGCAGAGTTGGCCACACACGTTGGTGAGGCTGTCGAGCCCGTGACACGTGGGGCCGCCCTGGTGGTCTTGAAGGAGGTGTTGAAGCTTGTCCAGGGCTTTGGCGAGGAGCTGCGCGGGGCGGCGTGGGAGCATCTGCTGCGTCTTATTCGACACACCGCCGCGCCATCCGGGACGAGGTGGAACCCCGCCCCCACCACCGCCCCTCTGGCGAGTGTAAAGCAGAGCATCGGCATCGCCTTCCGCGCGCTGGAGACGATCCAGCACTCATGCATCACGAGCCTGGACGACGAGGGACTGCGGCAGCTCATCCGCTGCGGTGGGGCCTTTATGACGCATCATTTTCCTGGCTTTGAGCATCGCCTCAACATCAACCTTAGTGCTGTCCAGCTGTTGTGGTCCATCGCCGACTATGTCGTCTCCAGAACGATGGGGGATGGCAGGAATGACGATCTTCTTTGGTGTACGTTGTTGATGCAGCTCTACGACGGCTGCCTTGACGTGCGCCCCGAGGTGCGGCAGAGTGCCCTCAAGACCCTCTTTTCACTTCTGCAGACGTACGGTGGACGCCTCTCTGCGGAGTGCTGGCGATGTGTGTTGATCGCCGTCTTGACACCGCTGATGGGCATCGCTGTGCAGGCTGCCGCCACCTGTGCAACTAATGCAGATATCTCAACTGCACCAGGTGTATCGTGCTCCCGTCACAGCTCTGCTATCTCACAGCAGGCACGACGCAGGTCGTCTGAGACGGACTTGACATCGCTCAGTGAACCTGCATACGTTCGGTACGGTGGATACACCAGTGAAGAGGACTTCTGTATTTCTAGGCTTTTGGCGCACCTCGAGGAGCAGCCCGCTCGGTTTGAGGACATGCGTGTAACGATCATGGATGCGGTGTGTCGTGTGTTTGCTTCCCACTATCAGGAGATGCATGTCGTCCTCGTTTTGAACTGCAGTGAAACGCAGCGGCGCACGGACGGGGAGATGCTGCTGCGGGAGACACTCTCGCTCTTTATTGAGCTCTGCAGGGCGTCTCGGTTTGTGGCACAGACCACAAGTGGGGAGAACGCCGCACTCTCCGCTGTACGTGCGTTGCATGTCTTGATGACGGCATCCAGCAACGCGCTCTTGACTGAGAACGAGTTGGAGGCTGCGTGGATTGCGACAGAACAACTTCTGCACGGCGGCAGCGACACTGCAGGCACGTGGCCTAAGCAGTGCACTGCAGCTGTGGTGGCCACCATTGTGGCCTCACTGGGCGACGTAGTAGCGATGCGGATGACGGGAAGGACACAACGCCTGCAGCAGCAGCAGCAACAACAACAACAACAACACGGCCCAACAACTGCGGTAGGTCCGACAGCAACTGTAACCATGTCTCCAACATTTTTTGAGCAGCTGCGTCACGTTTTTTCTTCCAACTCACTCGACGTGAGTGGTGGCAGCAGGGGGCAGCATGACTACTTTCCTCATTACCTGCGCATCGTGCAGGAGTGTCTGACCTCTCCCGCTGTCACGGAGTCGTACTTCTTCCCTGGCAAGGTGCAGACGGCAGTCATTGGGGCCTGGAAGATGCTTTGGCCAGCGCTCAATGCGCACGAGCGGGACGCCGTCATAAACGTTGCGCTGCAGCAGTTTCCCACACGTGCCGCGGTAATGGCGTTTGTTACGCAACGTGTAAACTCGAAAGGTAAAAAGGGAGGATCGACGACGGAAACCCGAGCTGTGGGGGTAAGACCAACAGAATCAGCATCTCTTCAAGAGGAGAAACCATGCCCGCGCCAACTCTCCTTGTCTGAGTCACTGCCGCCTGGATCTCATCCCAGTTTTCTCTTGGCTCTCATGGACTTCTTCTGCACCGTTGCCGATGAGGTGGCGAGGGAAGCGGTGCAGCAACAAGACACCCACTTCAATGCAGCACCCGCCGTGGTGCGAGCGGCTGGTGTATTGCTGCTGCTCGAGTATGCCTCGCCCGCGCTGCTCGCAGCGCCCGGTCCAGGCGTGCTGTTTCACGCCCCACCCCACTTCTTTGATAGGGCAGAGCGATGCCTCACGTCTTTTCTTGGGGATATTCTCTGTGGTGGGGCCTCAGCCCCCGCGCCCACACCGCCACCACCACCACCACCAGAAGCAGCGATGCGACCAACGATGATGCACGCCCTTTCTGCCTCTTTGTCAGCGCACCGTCGTGAGGGCCTGTTGGCGTTCGCTTCCGTGTTTTCTTCGCTGGTTTCTCTTGCCGACACGCAGCTCGGTGCCACCGGGGAGAGGGAGCCACAGGGGGTTTCCACCTACAACGAGGCCCCCGAACACCTGCGGGGGGCGTTGCAGCGCCTTGAAAGGTTTGTGTTGCTGCTAAGCGAGTTTCTCTCAACCGTTGTTCGCCAGTCAGGGGACATGACCTCTGCAACAGAGTTGCTTGCGGTGCTTGTGCCCGCCTCGTCACTGGAGCCCCCGCCTTTAGCTACCATCGCGAAGCGCAGTCTGGACGTGCTACGCCGCTGGTCGTTGTCATCATCGTCGTCGTCGTCGTTGTCACGCGAGGTGAGTTTCGTGAAGGATCAGAAACAAGACTGCATGCCTGCGGCTGCGCCGCCGTCCTCGCGGCAGGAGGAGGAGGGTGATGCCGACAAAGATGCCATACGGTGGCCAATGCCAAACGCATCAACGGCCTCGGCAGCTGCCGTGGCGGCATCTGGTGCCGCCTTTTTGGAAGGAGAGGAGTTGAGTGGTCAGCTGAAGAGCCTGGCACGGGCGTCGATGGGGGCCCGCAACCGGGCAGTGCTTCGAAGGTTTCGTGCCCACCCCACCAATGAGGAGCTGCGGCAGATGATGAAGACAGCCCTGCGGACCATTATACTTCTGTACCCATCCGGTCTCGCGACCCAGCAGCCACAACCAAAGCGTCACCTGCCTGGGATGCTGCCAGCAAGTAGGGACCACCACTCTGTGTCTGCCGATGACACGGAGGAGGGAAGGGAGTTGCTGCAGGGTGACCTGGTGGAACTGGCCCACCTTGTCGAGCTCACCGGTGAGGATGAGGAGTTCCGCTGTTTGCTGTCAAGAGCAATGTTGGGTATTTGTGCCTCTCTCGGCTTTTCCTCTTCGACGTGACGATAATTACGATTTGCCGCTTGCGAGCCTGTTCTGCGGGAGAGGAAATGGGATTGCGGGAGGTGGGGGGTTGCCCTAATCATGTCTAGTCTTTTTTTTTACATTGATTCTTGTGCGTGTGCGTATATGCAATATTTTTTTCCCGTTTTGCTTCTGCGTTCAATGAAAGGTGTTGGTCTCAGTGTGATGGGGAGCTCGCATCGGAGAACCATGTCTGCGCGCAGCCGCACATGCACCTTAGTCTGTGGTCGATGCTTTCTGCTCTTGCGATGCCTGCTTTGCGCCCACGCTGCCAGCAGGAGGGTTCTTTCTCTCACACGCACTCTCTATCTCTATCTCTCTCTTTATCTCTCTCGCATTCACAAAAAGAGAGGAGGAAGAAAAGAAAAGACGCACATCACCGGTTACCGTTGGGTAGCGAAGCGAAAGAAGCAAAAAAAAAAAAAGCAGCGGCAGCAGAACTGTGGGGTGGGGGAGGCGAGGGATGTCGACTCCCGTGAATGAGCTCCGGGCGCTGCGCAAGGAGGAGCTTGTGCAACGGGTGCTGGCATTGCAGGTAGAGAATGCCAGTCTGCGTCGAGAGATGGAGCAGATCCGTCGGCGCACGTCTCGCACCAAAAACTTAGACGCCCACGGCCTTTCGTCGCTTCGGCAAGACTCGGGGGAGCTGCACGGCTGCAGTAGCCCCACAGCGGGCGGCGTTGCATCTCCAAGCGGGAAGGGGAACACGTACACGCTGTCGTTCTCCGTGATGCTGATTGAAAATGGCACCGCCGTCTCGGTGCCGCTTTTCTCCATCATAGATAAAAGTTACATGCGACCCGACGTCCGCGATGCCGACACGCCTGTGGTGGCCTCATCGTTGATGCGGGACGACTACGATTCGGAGTCGCTTCCCCGTCACTCGTTGGATAGCCTGCACCTGGGATGTTGTTCACCCCGTGATAGCGTTGAGGAGCCGCTTGGTAGGGGCACTGAGCTCCGAGGATTTGGTGGGACGTGTGCCGCGACGTCGGTGGCTACTGGTGGGGCAGGCGCGGGTGGCCGGTCGTCCATCTCCTTTGAATTTGTTCCCTCCGACGACGCCAATGAGCCTGCGCCGCAGGACCCCGCGTCGAGCCAGCTGCCCCTTACCTCGCAGCAGCAGGAGCAGAGTCCACACGGGCAGGAGGTGCGTCGTCGAAGTATTCGCCACGAACTTCGTCGCCTGAGTTTAGGACGCGTGTTGAATAAACGCTCGGTTTCGTTGGATCCGGATGCACTTGTGTCATGCCAGACGCTGCGCACCTTTCACTGGCAGATGCTGGAGGGGGTGCGAGGGTTATCCCCGCTCTCCTCGCACGGCAACGCTATCTACCACTACATTGTAAAGAACTTTGCGGTTCGCAATGGATGTCGGCACAGCCCTGGCGACGTTGAGGGCTTTGGCCGCACATTGTGCAGTCTCTGCGGGGAGGTGAAGGCCATCCTACAAAGCGAACCCCGACACGGCAGCGCGGTATCCCCGTGCTACGTCTTTGGCGACCTGCATGGTAACTTTTTGGATCTTTTCTACTTCCTTGACAATCTCATCTCGTTTCAGGATCTGCGCTACGCCCCGCATCGCTTTCTCTTCCTTGGCGATTACGTGGATCGCGGGGACTTTAGCGTGGAGGTGGTGGCGTATCTCTTTGCCATGAAGGTGCTGGCCCCGGAGAAGGTGCTGCTGTTGCGCGGCAACCACGAGGACACGCTCGTCAGCGGCGACATTGCCAGCTACGGCGACACCAGCTTCCTAGCACAGTGCCGCAACCTCTTTGGCCACGCCCTCGGTGAGGAGCTGTGGCACCGTGCAAGTGAGACCTTTGCCTATCTTCCTCTCACAGCGAATATTGACGGACGCATTTTCTGCACCCACGGCGGCATCCCACGTTACCGCGGCGGCGTGGACGACAGGCTGCAGATATTATGTCGTGAGGACTTTCCCGCGCTTGAGTCGTTCTTCAATGTCCCAGAGGACGAGAGCCCGCAGGCGCGCATGTATCGGCAGATGGCCATCGACACCTGTTGGGCCGACCCCGCCGAGGAAGAGAGCGCGCTTGACAAGTGGGGCTTTGGCGCCAACCCGCGGGGCTCTGGTGTTATCCTCTTCGGCTCAGTCGCTGTAGATCAGTTCCTTATGAACTACAACTATGAGTACATCTTCCGTGCCCACCAGGAGAAGTCAGATGGGCTGAAGCTCAGCAAGAGTGCACGGGTCTTTACTATCTTCAGCACCAGCGCGTATGTGGGGCATGAAAACGGTGCCGGGGTTGTGCTCGTTGCGGATAGAAAGATTCGACTGATCATAAAAAATGCTGACACCTGCGCTCAGACGGCCGACGACGACGAGGAGGACGAGGAACGGGAAGGCGATGGTGAGGCTGATATGGCCGTGAGACGGTAAGCCACTACCAGGGCGGGTGACGCATGACAGGCACCCTTCCGTGGGGGGATGGGGGGCGCGGGTTGCTGTACGAGGAGGAACAGAACAGGAGAGTAAAATAACACGGGCGTAAAGCAAAGAAGAGAGGTAGGAGGCTGATGAATTCACACCCCCCGCAGGAAGCGGCGTAGAGAGAAGCAGTAGGGTTGTTTGTATGTTTGTCTCGTTTCTCTCATCAACCCGAGGGAGGTTCTTTTTAAATTTTATTTTTGTTGTTGGCTTGTTTGTTTGAACTCTTCCGCGTTTCTGCCCTGTTGCTGTGCGTCAACCGGGGGAGGAGGGGGGGGGGGGGCGTCGGACTCCCACGGGTCATGAGTACCGCACGTGCTGGTTTATTTGTGCCTTGCCTGGAGAAGGGGGAGGGGGCTTCCTTCTGCCACTGCGGGGGGAGGGGGATGGGGAGACATGTAGATGCATACCAACGTCACACACACACACACGCGTTGGCGCCTTCATGCACGCCAGTACACACACGTGCCGTTTGCTACACCGTCACCAACGCATATATATATATATATATATATATATATGCGTGCCTTTACGTGTATGTCTGTATGGGTTTGTGTATGTATAATATACGTGTGGGTGTCCCGGTCGTCGCACAGCGTTTTCTCTGACTTCTACGCTGCATTTCACTTTATTTGTGGCCTTGTTTTTTTTATTGTTCTTTTTTTTCTCTCCTTTTTTGCTTCCACCTCCTCAGCAGAGTCCGTCAGGGAAAGAGAGATATATACATATATTATAGGAGTTTGAGAAGGGGGAGGGGCGTCAGTAGAATGCAGACGTGGAAATATAAAAGGGTGCGTGGCCACTCGCTAAAGCCGGGAGGGCGGAGTTTGCGGTTGGACCCTGAACTTCGTGTGTCGTCAGTGTTTGGAAACTTCCCTGAGCAAAAGCGGAACGTGGTACGCGTGTTTGATAAGGACGGGGGCCTGAGGACGCGTGAGGTCGGAGTGAAGCGGTTTCAGTTTGCGCGGCTTTCCATCTTTTACATGCTGCGCTCCCTGACCTGGCCAATCTTGTGCACATATCTGTTTGTGCTCTACCTCGCGGTCCTGTTTGTGTTTGCGATGCTGTACTTTATCTGGGGCAGCGTGTGTGGGGCGTGGCAAGGCACCACCTGGGCAACGGCGCTCTACTTCACCGTCGTGAGTCTCGCAGCAAATGGCGGCTACTTTGGTGAGCCGGCCGACACGATGCTGTGCCCCACCCACCCCTGCTTCTCTGGTCGCACCTTTATTGTGATGCTGCTGTCGTACACCAATATCATATTTGTCGGGCTGGTGGCGGCTCTCGTGGTGGGAAAGGCGGAGTACGGCGGGAAGCTCAGCCAGCGCATCGTGTTCAGCGACTTCTGCTCCCTGACACCGCTGCCGGGGCGCCGGGATCGCAGCTGGTGCCTCACCTTCCGCATGGCGAACAGCGACGGACAGAAGCCGCTGGCACACGGCAGGCTGCGGGTGTTTATCATCACTGCAGAGCCGCTCAAGGACCACCGTATGCTCTGCAAGGCGGATACGACAACGCAGCACGCTGGAACGGCACCTGGAAAACTGCCGCGCGGCAAAGGCGAGGACGACGGTGGACGCCAACGGTCCCACAGGGCGCCGACGCCAGTCGCGGAACCCGCTCGTGAAACGGGCGAGGCAGAGAGGGAGGCAAGTGCAGGTTTTCACTCATGCCTGGGCACGCCGCGGGATGAAGTCGCACAGGAAGAAGCGCCGGGGGAGGCCCGCCAGACGCCTGTGCGTGGCGAGCGGCAGCGCCGTCGCCGTCAGAAGAGGCAGCAATCCCCAAAGGTGTGTGAAGCCTCGACGGAAGGAGGCGGGGAAGGCGAGGAGGATGCGGCAGGGGCAAAGAGTATCGCTCTCCTGTCGATAACTGAGGTCGGCGGCAGCAACAGCAGCGCGGCCGCTGTTGATGTCGTTGGTGGCCAGAGGCACAAGGACTACGATCCGTTGCTTTCCGCCACAACGGGGGGAGATCCTGTACAGCAGCGATATTCTGCCACTCAGCAACACTCCATCGTTGATGCTGGTGGCTCTTCCGGCTACTCCGAGGTGCGCATTCCGGTAGCGGTGGCAGGCGGTGCTGGTGGCAACGATGACAGCGACAGCAATGAGGATTATGATGGCTTTGAGCGGGTTAGCATTTGCGTGGAGGAGCTGCGCTGGGAATGCCCCAATGAGCGGTACGTGGAGGCGCGCCAAGGCCAACTTGCACTGTGGGTTCCGGTGAGTATCACGCATGTTATTGACCGCCATAGTCCCCTTTACCGCTACATGGGACACGCGGGGGCGGACGACGCGGAGCCAGCGACGATGATGCAACCCGGCGCAGCAGGGTGGGCGACGAACTCTCTCTGCTCATTCCAGATAGTCGCCACCTTTGATGCGACGGAGATGGAAAGCGGGGCCAACATCATGGCAAAGCGCACCTACACGGCGCACGACATCGTCGCACACTATCAGTTTTCGAATAAAATGGTGCTTGTTCGGCCCGGCAGCCGGGAGGTGCTGGTAGACTACCACTACTTTAACGAGATGCTCCCTGTGCCCACGGGGGAGTATGTCGCCACTGACAAGGATGTACCGCATAAGAGTGCATGACTAGTTTAGCATTACATGACGGCCCTCGTTGTGCCTGCATTTCTCCTTCCTTTCTGTGTGGAAGTGTGTGCGTGCGTGGAATTTATTTTTGCAAACTCCTCGGGAAGGGGAGGGAGGGGCGGGGGGCATAGAACACGCTTCCTCCTCCTCCGACCCGTAAAAAAAAAAAAAAAAACCTGCACGGGAGCGGCGACATGCGGGCAAAATAGAAAAGCAGAAAGAAAAAAACGGAATGAATGTACTGTGGATGAATGACGTGATGAGTTACTCCGGCCTTTTATCGATATTTTTGTATTGGATTTTTTTTTGATTTGGTTCTTGTTGAGAGTCTCCAGGGGAAATGACTGCGCCTCTCGGGTGTGTGTTGCCGACACGCACATATCCGCCCGCCTACGGCCATGCCACTCACCTTCTCCTATTGCCAGCATGGACCTTCTCGCAGATGGCCCGCCTCAACCTCACCCCGCACCGGAGCAGCCGGGTTTAAGTCACCTTCGGCCCAGCTTCGTCTTTGCGTCATTACTAGATGATCCCAGCAACGGAGAAAGAGTCGCCTCTAACTTCTTCGCCTCTGTTTGCTGGAAGGAAAGTGTTGTGGTCCTGCCGGCCGCTTGGGAGATATACCAAGTAATTGATTTTTTTATTTTGTTGTTCTTGTTTTACGTGTCTGTTTTTTCCACAATGAACAGGTGTAAGTCCCTAGGCTGTCCTTTTTCTTCTTCTTTTTTTCATCTTCCGAGATGGTTGGGGTCACCCTGAGCGTGAGAAAGAGGGAGGATTTGTTTGTATTGCTTTTTTTTTGCTTGTTTTTTCTTTTTTTTGGCTTGAGGCGCCCTGCGTAGTAGTTGTTCTTATCTTTTTGTATTTTAGCTTCTCTTGTTGGTGTTTCGTTTTTGGTGGTTTTTTTTTTGTTTGACCGCTTCCGCGGCTAGTTGCGTCAACGCTCGTTCTGAGGTTCAGCGCGGTGACAGACTACTGCATTTTTAGAGGAGGCAAGGGTGAGGGGGGAACTCAGAGGATGGAAAAGTACAGAAAGTTCGCGGATGCCGCAACGGGCATCAACCCCTTCGCGCTGGTGCGGTCACCCACAACCCTTTCCTTGGTGATTGCCGCGGCACTGTTTCCCCTCCGCCTTGCGGGGGCGCTGCTGCTGCTACTGCCTCTGCTCTTTGTGCTGGATGTGCTGGTGTATGCCTTCTTCCTCGTCCCAGGCATGTCGTGTGTATCGCGGCTGCTGCTCGCGCCCTGCCAGCGAGGCCTGCTTCGGGGCCTGCTCTTCGCCGGCGGCAACCTTGGCCTCACGCGGGAGTCGCCGAAGACGGTGGCGATGGCAAACGCGGCAGGCAGGGACGCAGCACCAGCGGCTGGGGACGTTGTGGTGGTGAACATGCAGTCTCCCTGGGATATGTGCGTGCTTGAGGTGGCTGGGCTGCTGCCGCGGTGCATAGTCGCCTTCTACGTTGGTGGAGCCGCCACCACCACTACCGCCGGGGCGTCAGCGAAGAAGACGGACGACGACGGCAGCAGCAGCGACGGGCTTTTAGTGGTGGGGCCGTCCCCGCTGCAGCGCTGGCACGTGTGGTGGCACATTTACGGAACGGGGACCGTCGAATTTCTCCGTGCCGCGGCTGCTTGCGGTGGTAGTGGGGCCGGCAACAGCGGCCACAATGGGTCGGTCGTCCACCTTACGAGGCTGCAGCAGCGATGTGAGCGCCTTGGCGTGCCGCTCATATTTTTCCCGGAAGGCAGCTGCACAAATGGCAAGGGGATGTTGATCACCGCACCGCTGCGGACCCGCACTGCCCCAAGACGCGTCTTTGTCGCCGCCATTGATTACGACACCACGGCGGTGCACACGGTGCTGCGTCCACGTCGGTTGTTGTCGTTTTTGTTTTCTATGAGCGCGTCTCTGCACGGCAGCCACGACCCAGCGTGGTACAGCCCCCCCTTCCCCGTAGCCACTCTGCGGATGGCGGTGTTGACGGCGAGCCCACCGACTGCCACCGGCGAGGGCGACACCGCCGTCGTGTGGGAAAGTGCAAAGGTGCGGCAGGCTTTGTGCGCCGCGTCAAGGTCGCGGCGGGCGTTGGCGGTTGGTCTGCGTGAGAAGTGCGGCTACGCCGAGGCGTGCGAGGGCAGGAGGGCGGGGAACGTTTTCAAGTAACAAACGTCCCCACGTGTCGAGGCAAGAGCCTGATATCAGAACCGCAACCAACACGCAACATGGAGTGTATTGACGAGGAAGAAGAGGGATGAAAATGAAAATAAAAAATAAAGATAAAAAATGTCTTTTCAGTCCAGTCAATTTATTCTTTCTTCTCTATTTATTTTTCTTTTGAGTTCGCTACTCTTCTTGCCCTAGTTGCCTTCCTGGCTTACAAGGGCATCTACGGCGTATGTCCCAGCAACCACACCGTTACCACAAGTTGCCATGGTGGAAGCGGATTGTGCTTGACACGGCGTACCGGCAACGTGTGAAGACGCTCGCAACGCAGCGCCACCGTGAGGAGATGCAGCTACTGCAGGACTTTCCACGCGAGGTGGCATCCGCCGCCTGGGACGACGGCAGACCAATCCCCCGGTCAGCACAGTACATCTGCGTGGAGGAGGAGTCCTGTGCGTGGGCCACGCGGCACCCGGAAAGTATGATTAAAGTATCCGCCTTCCGCAACCTGCGAACGGCAGCGGCGTCTGTCGTCGTTGCCAGCAACCGAACAGAGGAACGAGACGCACAGATTATTGCGGAGGTAAAGCGGTTGTACGACGCTGAGACGGCATCGGAGCGGCTCTACGGACTTTCTTATGTATGGAATCGTCCACTCCCGCCAAACGGCCTCATTCGTGTGTGGCCTGACCCTACATCCGCTATGTGGCCCGCGTTGCTGGCCGCCTCTGCAGCCACTGTGCCCTGCCACCTGACCCTGCCAGCCCCAGAGGGTAATCTCGCGCTGTTTCTAGGGATGAGACCCACGTGCCTGACTGACCCCCTTTGCATCAACGTTTTCCGCCGCAATGGTGAGTACCTTGGAGCGTGGCGTCAGTCACTGTTTCTCATTCGCTTCAAAGTTATTTGCTGGGCGTTGCACGAGGAGGAGCGTCAGCGCACCTGCGGCGTGGTGGGCCGCCCAGTGCTAGCATCCGACAAGGCCATGCCAGCCCTTGTGTGTGGGCGGACACTACAAAATGTTCCGGTGCTTCCCTTGCCTCTGCTACGCCTGCAGCGTGGGACGGTCACATTCAGTGAGAAGATGCGCCGCCTAAACCTTCACAGCCTCCACCCTCCACTGACGTGGGAGGGTATCGCCCCCGCCCCCTCCACCTACCGGGCGGAGCAGGCGTACCAGAATTGGCACGCGCTGCACCGGGGCTCAGCTGTAGTGCAGCAGGCCGTGCGAGATGTGTTTAACTTGCTGCCGCAAAATGAGAACAGGTTACTGACAAAGACCACGTACGTCGAGTTCTTTTTGGATCTGTTAAACCTCTTCTTTCCAACGCACATTTCCTCCGCCAACATTGCCATTGCGGAGGAGGAGTGGGTGTACCGCGGCACCACAGACTTGGTGAGTTTTGAGACCTTTTACGAAAAGTTTTTTAGCTTTCCGTTTATTTTTCTGCGTGACCTCAACACCGTGACGCGAGATCAGTACGTGGAGGTGTGGTGCCTGATTCGCATCTGCCTTTTGGGGGATGCGGACGCCATTCCCCCCAATTTGTGCAGTATAATCGCCTTGGAATCGTCCTCCACCAGGACAGTTGGCATGACGTCTCTCAATACGACGACGGCGAAGGCTCACGTTGCGGCGTCTCACATCACTGCCTACAGCAGACCACGGCGGCCGATGACGGTGCTGGATGCCACCTTGTGCTCCATGGATAAGTTGAAGTATTTGGGGCAGCGTGAGGTCCCGCCGCTCATTGGGGACATTTATGGCGTCACCCAGGAAGACGTGCTGCGGCTGGGGGAGAGGAACTTTCACAACACAGACAACTACGCACTGCACGAGGTACGGCGGGCGGCAATAGTGCGGGACGACGCGCACGACATGTTGTCGCCCGTCAAGGTGAAGGCCGCTGTGCATGCGAGGGGTCAACGGTTGCTCTCGCAGATCGCAAAATCTCTGCGCCGGCAACAACTGCAGAAAGAGGCCCAGAAGAGGCAGAGCTGCGGCAAGGAGAGGGAAAGGAGCACGGAGGGCGAGGAGGGCACCGGTGCCAGTTATGAGGTTATTAAAATTGATGAGCATGGAGAGGCGGAGGAGGGCAACTACTCTGCGCTCCTCGAATGCAGCACCTCCTCTGGGCAACGTCCCCGACAAGACAAGAGGAGAGCCGAGATGGGGTGCGTGAAAGGAACGGGGAGGTTCCGCGCGGAGTTGGAGAAGATTGAGGAAGAGCGTGTGAAGAAGCAGCTGGTGGAGACCTCGGTGTTTTACCGGCATCGGCGCATGCGACGGCATGCCGAACGAGCAAAGCTCCTCTCGCACGTCTCCCGCAGCCACAGCTCGTGGGAGTTGTACCGGCAGGATGTTTTTGAGCTCCAACACGAGTCGCTGGATGAAGAGGAGGATCATCTGTTGGCATTCGTCCGGGACCTTCCAGACGACTTCTTTGACGATGAAAATTCGCTGCGGACGCGGTACTGCGTCTACGCCGCCCGCCTTTGCGCACTTGCGGAGCGCGCCAGACACGGCAATCCCGATGCGACGGGACCTTCTTCGCTGGCGCTGCTGCGGACAAACTTGTCGGGCACGTTAACCGGAGTCGAAGCGGAGTTGGTCTCCTCGTACATGTTGCCGAGCTCGCCGAAGAGTACTGTAGGTGGCAGTGTGCCTCCGTCCAGACGTGGATTGGAGTCAAGACGCGAGTTGTTGCCTAAAGAGGCAGGCTGGGTGTCGCCTGCCTCGAACCTGGCGTCAGTGAGCGTGGGAAAAACACTCAAGCTCTCTAGTGGGGAGGGGAAAGCGAATTTTTTGGCGCCGTCGTTGGTATTCAGCACTGTAGTTAGTCGGAATCCAGCAGACGGGGTGTGCGGCGACAGAGTGATCAATGACGTGCGTTCCCGGCGAACAGCTTTGCAGCGAGGGGAAATGGTGGGGCCAAAGCGGGCGCTGCAGCTTCGGTTGCAACTAAAGCAGGAGTTGAACCGCCGCTATAATGCAATGCTTGCGGCGCGACCGCGCCACCTGCTTCCCGCCTCCGTGAACGCCGCAAGGAAAGGGGCTGCCGCTGCGGGTAGAGGCCACGTCGGGGCGGGCGCCCGTCGGCTGCCATCTCAGCAGGATGCCTGAGATGCATTTTACTCCACTTGTTGTTGTTGTTGTTGTTTTTCTTTTTTGCGCCGTACTCGGTGAAGGGAGGGGGTAGAGGAATGCATGTTTTTTGTTTTTTTTATTGTACAACTTGCTCGGCGCGTTCCCCGGTGGGTGTCGACACTCACGGGAGGAAGCTGCCACATGCGTTGATGGCAGTGGCTGTGCTTCTGGACCTTCCTTTTTGTTTTGTTTGTTTGTCTTGATATTATGTGGTGTTGGACGTGGATGTTTATGGACGTGTGTGTGTTCCCATTGAGTCGAGGCTTGAAGCAGAGGAGGCGCCGTGTAAGAAGAATGTGTCTTTGCTTGTTTTCTCACTCTTACTCCCCCTCTTTTTTTTTGGTTTGTTTTTGTGTGCGTGTTTGCTGTGGTTGCCGCTGTGAAAGAAGGCCAAGACACCTTTGACTTATGTAAAAGTACCAAGTACCTTGGCAGACGGTGACTGGCGTGCCACTTCTGCCCCTGATGTCATTTTTTCCTGTTGTTTGAGTTTTTTTTTTCCGTTGATCTCGTTCTGAGCTTGCTGCTCGCAACAGAGGGGAGTGCGGCCCGCGGGGATTTTGCTCCGCCACGGTTACGGGTGCCGCCCCTTGCAAGCTCCCCCGTATCCCCGTTCTTTTTATATTCCGTTCTTTGTTGTGCGCATGTGCAAGCATATTTCTGGCTTCGCCTGCTGCAGCATGGCTGTTGGGGGCGGTGTTCTGGCGCCGTCGACGGCGGGGACGCAGATCATCCACTTGGTTTCCCGCCTTGTCGTGGGTGTGCGGCTCCACGGCACTATCGCCGCTCTCAATCTGCGAGGCTGCGGCCAGCTGAAGTGCCGCCCGTTTCTCTGCTACTTTGCTGAGACGTTGCGCCGCCTTCGCTGCGACGTGATGCTTTTCCTTCCTGTCGCTGCCAGCATGGGGACACGGGAGCTGGAGCAGCTCAACGACACGGAGTTTCCGTGCAGCTACCGCATGGTGAATGACCCGACGTCGGGGACGGTGGCGGGGGCAGAAGCGGTCGGGCGGCGCGGGCGAACTTCAAGGACCCGCTTTGCCGCATAGCGGCAGAGCAGCAGACATCTCCCAGTCGCATTTTGTTTATTGAGTCCGAGATTAACTACCGTTTCAGCCCCGTGCAGACGCTGGTGGTGGAGGTGTTTCGGCTGCACCGCATTCGTCAACGGCGAGAAGGGGCGGCGGAGGAGCTGCGCAGGGCGGAACACTATCATGCGGCGCTGTTAGAGTCCGAGTATGCGTGGACGCAGGGGCGCTGCGAGCCAGGCCCACGTCCCGCGCCGCACTCGCTTCCGTTCTCCGTGGAGTTGCACAGTGAGGCACGGGCGGAGCACCGGGAGCAACTGCGTTCCGCGGCACTTGCCATCAACCGTGAGGACTACACGCTGGTGGCGCTGGCCGGGATGCTAGTGGAGCTCGCCGCGGCCGATATTGCTGTGGCGGATTACCTCTGCGTGGAGCCGCTGGTGAAGAAGCTCACGGTGCCCTCTCACGGGGAGGTGCATTACCTTCCGATGGAGAACTGCAACGACATGGAGCTGTGGGACTGGGCCGCCGTGGAGGTGCGTGAGGCGAGGGCGAAGGGAGAGGCGGCCGTCGTGCCGGACGTGGAGGAGCGGGCGGAGCACAAGGGTCTATTCAAGTGAGACACAGTTTATATATATATATATATATATGCCTACTATTTCTCTCTCTCTCTCGCAGGCGCTGCGTCTCTCTCACCTTCACTCGCTCACTATGTGTGTGTGTGTACTTTGTGTTGCCTGCCCGCGTGTGCACTTCTGTCCCCGCTCATGCCTCTCCAGGAACGAAGCAACCATCACAAACCAAGCAAGCAAAGAAACTTGACGAGCGGCCCTGAGGGAACATATATATATATATACTCACCATTGTTGTCAGCGGCTCCAGCATTGTTGCGGCTGTTCCTTTAGAGAGATCGTCGCGGTAATAAAAGTAACAACAAAGAGGAAGAAGTCGGCGCGGCAGCAACAACAACAAAAAAAAAAAACAAGAGCGAGAAAAAAAAAAAGTTTCAAAAGGAACGATGAGCACGTCGCTGGTGACACTTCCTAACGTCCTTTCCTCGGACTGCACGTACTATGCCGGGGACCCGGAGCTGCTGAAGAGTGAGCGGTACGCGGAGCGAATCTCAAAGCTGCTGCAGTCGGAGAAGGCGGACCTCCTTGCCGCCCGCGTCGCCATTCACGCTCAGCTGCGCGACGCCTTCAGGGACGACAATGTGCAGAAGATGCTGCGGCCGTACCTTCGCCCGGACGAGAACTTTCAGACGTTGCTTGATGACGCCAAGAGTCGCGCCAAGTTTTTTTCGCGGAAGCAGCAGGAGTTGCAGGCGGACGTTATGTCCAGTGCAGAGCAGGTGGCGCTGCGGGAAGCTCATCGCGAGTTGGCCGCGTGGGAGCGGGAGAACGCGGTGCTCTTGCGGCATCAGATGTTTATGTCCTACACGCCCGCCACAACGCTGCTTCTGGAGAGCGCCGCCACGATTGCCCTCTACCGCCAGTATTCCGCCCTTGAGGAGGGGGATTACACAAGCGAGAGCAGCAACGGGGAGGTGCCTGCGCAACTGGTGAAGATGGGGGCCCGGCCACTCTTCACCGTCCAGGAGCCCAGTAAGGAGTTTGCGGTAGACGAGCATACCAAGATGTTCTCCCAGCATGTCCTGCAGAACAAGCGGGTGGAATACGAGGAGAAGCGAGCGTTGGTGTTGCAGCACCGGAAGCAGTTGGAGGAGTGCCCATCGCTGCAGCGGCTGCAGAAGTTTATCAACACACGCAACGATATTTTTCGCAATTACGGTATCGACCGGCTTGTCTCGCTCCGTGTGCGCCGGGACAAGGCGCTGGCTGAGCCGTACGAGGGCGGCGAGGATGCGACGGTGGCGGGTTTATTGCCCACGAACGAGATCATGCGCAGCCGCCGTGTGGCGCAGTACTCGCTGGCCAAGATTGTGGAGCAGTGTCACAAGAACTACGTCAGCATCCTCACCACGGAGGACTGGGATGCCCTGCGGTCGAGCACAAGCTTCGACAACCGTGAGACGCTGCAGCGGCTGAGACCGTTGAAGGACCTGGATACCTTCCGGTACTGGTTCCTGTCCAGCATCACGGCGGATGCTCCGCAGATTGGGCCAAACAAGCTCGTAGGGAAGAACCCCACCCCCGTCGAGGAGTACAAGAAATTCTGGCAGCCGCAAAAGCCAAACTACGTGCCCTCGCTGAACACGGCGCACAGGCAACAGTTCAAGGCTCTGGCAGCCCGCCGCGGGTTTCCCCACCTCGTCGTTCTCTCCCCTGTCACCTACTCCTACATGCAAAATAATGATCCCAACTCCATTGTGAAGGGGGAATTGGACCTGATGGTCTACGATCAAACCAACGAGAAGGTCTTGATGATGATTGTTAATTCCCATGACGAGCGCCGCCCACGCGGGGCCTTTCTGCGCGGGCAGGAGGAACGCTACCGATTTGCCGCTATCATTCGCGCCGCGATTACAAACGAGAACCTGTTGTACGACTTTCAGTGTCAGGGGACGGTGGCGGAGTATTTCTTTGACGCGGAGGCGGGATCGGAGGAGAACTACTACTGTATTATGGCCCCCATCAGGATCTCACAGAAAGTGGGCGCCGTCGTCAAGGTGCCAGTGATGGCCCTGCGCCCATTTACCACATGTCCACCGCGGTACTTTCTTCTTGGTTCGAACTGGGGCGTTAGCTCCAGCAATGACAGGAACCCCTACGCCATCTCCTACATGCACGCTGAACTAAATGAAGACGCCATTGTCTTGCAGCAGAGTATTGCAGAGGGATTCGTGCAGAAAAATGTAATGCCACAACTTCTCACGCGCAAGGAGGGACTTGAGATCATGAAACAAGAAAAGGAGCAACGGGCACGCGAGCAACGCGAGTCCGTCTCTGCACGCTCAGGGGTCGTCTCAACTTCCGCACGTGGAACCCGCTCGTTGGGGCAAACCCCGCGTCACACCACCACCTACGCCAACGACGCCGCATCCACGCTGGCGGAGGAAGATGAGGAAGACGGGGGCATTCTCCCCGAGGAGGAGGATCCACTCGCTCCCGAACTCCCGGGAGACGCACTGCGGCCTGTGCGGGAAGCCTTACTCAACAGGCGCTTCTTGCTGCAGCCCGGGTATATCCAGCGACGCGCGAAGGATCAGGTGATCAAGCAGCTTCCGGCGGTGAAGGACGGTCAACTGCGGACCCCGCTTATGGTGTTTCAAGATCTCATGAAAACAAAGCACGGGGAGGGGGAAACGTACTCTAGTCAACCGCCAAGTGCACGCAGCCGCTTGAACGCTAGTACCACCAACAATACAAGCACCCAACTAAAGGGCAGTCCTAGACCAACCACGCGAGTCGCCGCCGGTGTCTCTTGGTTTTAACTGAGCGGTGGTGGCGTAGGGAACTTGTGCTATACGAGGGAATCGTTGGGACCGCCGACATCAAGGATGAGGGGGAAACACGAATGGCGAGGGTCTGGTGTTACGCCCCCTGAAAGTGATTACGGCTGCCTAGACACGTGGACGTGCACACATTGCAGGACACGCCTAGAAATCTTGTATCCATGTTGGAAAGGTGTGCGAGCGCGGTTTCAGAATGAAAATATACATGTGGCACACCAGCCACAAGAAGAGATGATAGAAGCAAAGGAGAAACAAAACCGATGACAGAAGAGAAAGCAGAGGGGAGTGGGAGGGTGGGGAGAGGGGTTTGGTAGTTATCTGTTTATGGGTATGTCCTCCTCGTCAGTTGTTTCGCGCTTCCCAGACACACACACACACACACACACACGGCTGTGAGGCGTTAAACAACACCAACAGGTATGTAGCGTGAAGGGGGAGTAGAGAATGAATTATGGTGCGGAGTGGTGGTTGTTTCATCGTTTTCTATTATTTTTTTGATTGTTGTTGTCTAGTTCGTTTTTACTTTTAGATGTGTTTGTGTGTGCAATTGGAGGAATTTTGGGCAGGAAACTGCGTGAGGCACGGTGCTGCCGGCCCCCGTTGCGCCGCGGTAGACAAGGAATGAAGAGTATCGGAGCGCACGCACACGCGCACAAACACAAACACAAATATACAGTGAGGGAGAGTGGAAAAGAAAATAGAGATAAAAAAGGAGAGTAATGTGTGTAGGCAAGGAGAAAAAACTAATGTGGCGTAGAGCGTGGCCATGCAAGGCCGTCAGCAAAGGAGTAAGTTGTGGAGGGGTGCTCGTTTGTTTGTTTGCAGCAAAGCAGTCTCAGTGACTTCATTGTGGGGAGAGGAATGGTGCCACTTAACGGGGCGAACGGGGGAAAAGGGGGAAGGGGGGCCCGTTGGTCTCCGCGCCCTCTCCGTGCGTGCGTACGTGTGTTTGTGTGGATGTCGTTTACAGACTGTTCGAGTTGATATCACCTTACATGCCCTGTCTCTCTCACTCTCTCTCTCTCTCTCTCTCTCTCTTTCTGGGCATATTTATGTGCATGTGTATATCTGTCTGCAGTTAATTATATATATAATTAACTGTATGCACTTTGCTCTATACCCTGCGTATGTGTGACGCCTGCTGAAGGGGGGGGGGGGAGTGCACGGCGTGCCCCTTTCTGCGCGACCCCCCTTCTCGCTGGCATTCCCCACAACTTTTTTTTTAATTTGTTGTTGTAGTTTCTTCTTTTTTGGGTAGCACACCTGTGAGTGAGTGCGAGCCACACAGCTATCGAGAGGTATACGTATTACACGGACGCACCCACATACCGTCGGGCGTTCAGCACGAGCGACAGTTAGGGAGGAGTTGGAGGCTGGGAGGTTAAATGTCCGCAAACTCCAGGCGGTCGTCGCACGACGGCGCACCACAAACGCTGGAGGCCCCAGCAGACGGAACTGCGACGACAGCCGTGGGAGAGGAGGCGGGGCTGGGGCTGCCGGTGCAGCTTGACAACGAGAAGGGGGGGAACAACGGCGTGTGGGACTGCTTGTGCTCCAGGAACACCATGAGCGGCAGTCGCTCCCGCAAAACCCCGTTGCTTTTTCCAAAAGTGGCGGAGCCGTCGGCGTTGCGTCCCGGAAGGCTGCAGGGGTCACGGGAGCTCTCTTCAGGTGACCGCATAGCGGAGTTTCGCCTGCTGGCGTCAAATGTGCCGTCCGTATCGATTCACCCAAAACTGTCCTCGCATCCGCCACGGTTGCAGGGTGCCACACCACCGAATGTGCTGATGCCGTCGGGAGTCTCCGTGCAGCGGTACCGCGCCAAACTGGAGGAGTGTGCGGAACTCCATCGCCATATCCAGGACGTTTCCACGGAGCTCACAGTGACACAGGATCACCTGCACAGCGTCAAGATGGAAACGAACAGCTTTGTAAGTGAAATTCAGCGGCTGAAGGATGTGTTGTTTGTGACAACAGCTGAGCTGCAAAGCACGCAGCAGCGTGTGGATGAATTGCAGCGAGAGAATGCGCGGATGACTGTTGAGTTACGTGCGCACCAGACACTTGGGACAGATACCGCGAGGCGGACGGGGGTATCTGCAGCGCTTAAAGCTATCCGTGGCACGAGCACGGACTCAGCCGTGCATGCTAATATGGGGGTTCATCATCTCACGCACTCTGCGGTGAGGCTGCGCACGGACAACGGCACACCCTTGTCGCAGCGTCAAACGGCGAGCTCAGATGCGCTGAATACAGCCAATGCCTTGGCCTCGTATGTACGTGAGTGTTTCCGCACCGGTGTTGTGCCACATATGGAGCTATTGCATAGCCTGTACGATGGTGACCGCCTGATGGCCGTCGATCCGCCCATCTCTCACGCCCAACTGAGTGCACTGAAGCGTGTCCTCATTGATGCAACAGGGTTGGAGTCCATCAGCGGGAAGGAGGGCCCGTCGCAGTTGCAGATGTGCCGCCTCGGTTCACTTGCGCTGTCGTCCACGCCCTCGTGGGTGCATCAGGTAAAGCTTCTCTCTTTCCGGTGCGAAAATTGGCAAGCCAGCGTCAGCACGCTTCTCTACATGATACGCAGCCTGAAGTCCGTGCAGGATCTGGAAATTTTCTCCTTGTGTGACGTGGATGTCATGCGGCAGTTGACGGGGGCCCTTCTTATGGCGCCTCACGTGGAGGCGCTTTCGCTGCCGGAGCTGTCGCTCACCGATGAGGGACTGGCCGTGCTTTTCGCGTTTCTAATTCGACACGAGCAGCTGGCTACGAAACCTCCGATAATAAAGCAGCCAAAGGTGTCAAGCTCCTCGATGCCGGAGCCGACTGCGCCGCAGCGAGGTGTCGAGGCAGGCTTCTCCATTCCTAGAGCTAGTGCGGAAGCCGAGGCTGCTGCGGGTCAACCGGCGTGCTCAGAGAGGCCTCTGGGGATACACATCGCCCTGCCTTGCCTGGACCTCAGCCGGTGCACCATTGAGCATCCAACGGCGCTCTTCCGCACGTTCCGCGGGACATCGGTGGAGGTCCTGGTGCTGACTGGGTGCACCGCACTGCGGGACGTGCACGTGCGCGATATCATGGCTGCTTGTCCGCAGCTGCACACACTTGATCTCTCCAACAGCGAGGGCCTTACGACGGCGTGTATCAAGTACATCAGTCAGCACGAGCGGCTGAAGGTGCTGCGGCTGGAAAACTGCCCTGGCATCAAACAACTCGAGCTGGCGAACTTGGAGGTTCTCTTCTCTTCGCTTGCGCACGTCACGCGACTTTGGGCTCCGGGGCTTCGCCGTCTGCCGACGCCGCTTACACATTCGTGCGTGTTGTTTGACTTCTACGCCCCCAACCTGGTGGAGGTGACGTTGAAGGGCGTCGTTGTGGATGCTGGCACACTCGCTACATTTGTGTCCGACAGTAGTAGCGATGGTGCGGCGGAACGCGCGACTCCTTCCGCCGCCTTCACGCTCGGCTGTAGCATCCCATCGGTGGAAAAACTGCTCCAGAAACAGCAGCAACGGCCGCAGGAAGGGGAAGCGGAGGTAGAAGAAGAGAAAGGGCATGTGGGAGAAGAGCAGGAGACGAGAGAGGAAAAGCAGGTGGCCGGCAAGGTGGTCCAGCTTCTATCGGTTGGATTCATTGAGTGCACAATTGCCGCCCCCTCCGAGTTGAGCGCCTTCCTGAAGCAGCAGGCCCAACTGCTCCGGCTTTCCCTCCACGGCTGCCAGGGAATGGTGGATTCGAACCTCGCATGGCTTCCCACCACAATTATGGAGCTTGACGTTGGCGGGGTCGCGCAGCTGACAGGCAGCAGTATCGACGCCATCGTTGTCCGACTGCCGCAACTTATCAAACTGAGCCTCAAGAACGCCGGTGCATCCATACAGAACGCGGACCTGCATCGCTTGCGGGGGCTGGGTAACCTGGAGGTGCTGAACCTCCTCGGCCTACCGCAGTTGCTTCCAGAGGTGGTGGCCGCCGTGGCTGAGGAACTGCCACGGCTCCGCGTGTTATACCATGAGACGGCGGTGGTGGAGTGCACGCGTCCGACGGTATTATTGCAGGTGCTTCGCAGCGATGAGGAGGACACCACCCGCCAGGACATTCACCAGTGCTTAAAGGAACTGCTGCACCTACGCAACGAGACGGCGCTTGCGCTGTGGATGGAAGCCCAGCTGCCAAAACCCACGCAGCTGCTGCCGCAGCGCTACGTGGCCACGCACGGCGTGGACGTTGGGGCCCCACAACCGCCGCTGACTAAGAACACAACATTTTACGAATTAACCCAGCGGACACTCTCGCAGCAGGGCACGGGTCTCATGGAATTGGAAAATGAAGAAGAGTCCACAATGGTGGACGATGGAGAGAAGTTGGTACAGCAAGACCACCCGGAAGTGCTGGTGATTCTCAGCGGAGAAGAGCAAGAGCAGCCTTATGCGCCCCTCACAGAGGGATGCGACGACGACGAGGAAGACGAGGATGAGAAGTCGCGACAGAGTTTGTATGACAACCAACGCAGGACAGAGTCCGCGATGGACGAGCGGGGCCGAATAGCCATTGAAAATACGCCTATGGGTCCATGGGGTGAGGCTGACATCGTCGCCGAGCATCGACGGCACTCGGGGAATTGAAATGACTACAGTGTGCCAGCAAATAGGGAAGAGGAGAGGAGAAGGAGTGCGGTTTTCTGCCCCTTTCTCTGCTCCTGTGTGCACAGCACAAGCTGCAGATACAAGGTGGCGATCTCGACCATATGTTTATTTGTTGCGTTTTGTTTTTGTATGTCGTCCCGTTGTGTGTGGGGTGTATTTGCGTATGTTTCTGCCATGAATGATGTAACGCGAGCAGACGTGTTGTGCGTGGTTGTTTGTTTTTTGTTTTGTTGTTGCCTGGGAGCCTACGCCCCCTCCGCCATGGTGTCGTCGCTTGAATCAAATGTGGAAGAGAGAAGGACGACGGTGTTGTCCGGCGTATGTGTGTGTGCAATATGTATTAGCGTGTATGTGTGGCGCCAGTGGGTGAAGTGGGGAGGGGAGGGGAAGCAGGGGGGTGAAAGGAGCGGGAAGCAGCAGGACGTGACGGAGATGCCTGCGGCCCATTCTCCCTTATGAGGAAGAAAAAAAAAAGAGTTGGTAGTGTCTGACCTCCGCGCTGATATGTTTAGAGTTGTCGTTGTTACTGTTTTTTTCCCCCTTTTTTTCTGTCTGTTTGTTTCTTTCCCCGTCGCCCTTTTGCTTTTGTGAAGAGAGATGTAGATTAGTTCTTTTGATGAACAGCCTCCATTTTTTTTTTTGTTTTATTTGCCTTTTTTCTTTTTTTTCTTTGCTATTCTTCTTTTTCCTGTCTAGTTGCCTCCTGCGTGTGTGTATGTGTCTCTGCGTGCGCCTGTTTATCTTGCTTTCCACCTGATCATCTCCCTCTCATTCTCTCTTCTTCTGACTGGGTCTTTCGCACTGCTCTGGGAGTTCCTGCGCTGTGGCAGAGACGACGCAAGGGTCCGATACGCGCGCGCAGGGAAAGGGAGAGAGATTTGTTTTTTATCTTGTACTTCACTTGTGACGGGCTTCGAGTTGAGTTTTTTGCCTTTTCTTTTGAGGAGGAGGCGGGGCGTGTGGGTGAGGGGTCATCGTTCACGCATCTCCTCCAGCGGGAATTAGTGGAGGTAAAATGTCCCTGCCTGACGTGGAGCCCGCCGCAGGGGAGCGGACGCCGTCCGTTGACATCGCAGAGGCGGGTAGCGTGGTAGGCAGCGAGGCAGGCTGCGCCGCTGCAGCAGCGGAGGCGAGTGCGAAGAGCAGCAGCAGCAGCGTATGCAAGCAGCCTTTGTGTGATAACTACCCCACGGAGGCGCCGCCCGGCGGCAACGGGAGCATGTCTGTAGAGGAATATTCTGTCTACACCAGTGTCGGATCCCCCGAACAGCAATACTCGATCACCGTGGAGCCGGAGTCTGAGCCCGCCAACCTCACGGCGACCAAAGAGGAAAGAAAGTTGGCAACGCTCTCACAGTTGTCCGCGGAGGTGCACTCCTCACCCCACCCTATTGCGCCGATGGATCCAAAACGGCCCACACAACGCATCGATAATAAGACGCCACTGCTAGTGTGGCAGAAACGTGGGCAGCATCTGCAACATTCGCGGCATGTGGAGGCAGGTAAAGGCGAGGGAAGTGTATCTCTCACTCCTCGTGGGGAAGATCCGCGGCCGCGTGGGAACGGCTCATCGCAGGCGTTTATCAATTACTTTGCAGGAGTCTACATGAAACCGGTCACGACACCAAGGCATAGACCGAGCACGCACCCTAGGAAAGGGAACGGGAAAAGCGGTAAAAGCCCCAGACAGGCAGCCGCTCAGGCGCTGGATCGCAAGGCCGTTGAGCAGCACCGCGCGGAGGAGTACACCGTGGAGGACGCACAAAACGAGGCAGCACTCCCAGAGTGGATCAATAACCACAACAGCATGACGTGGAGTAAAGGTAGAGACACGAAATCGAGGTGGATCCCAGTTTTGCAGGGCGCGAACCATCTCTCCAGCACTAGCCCAGTGAAGATGTCTTCTGGCAGGGAGGGCTCAGCGGAGAGCACGTTGCCGGAGCAGCAGAAATTGCAAGCACGTCTTTTTATCCCACCCTTGCAGGTCCGGCGCCAGAACGACACCTTTCAGCGTTGCCTACGTGTACTAATTGACCGATGTGGCAACAGGAGCGAGGAGGATATGGTGCCGCATCTGGGCTATAGCTATTCCTGCATCCTTGCCCTCAGACGGGGGTATTTGCCCACCGGCGCCACACAGGGTAGAACCAAATACCGCCAGGCATTATTACCAATCCCACGCCGCGAGAACGGGTAGTGGAGATGCAGAAAAATCGCACAGCGCGCAGAATGATGTCACACACAAAAAAAAAAAAATGAGCAACAGGAGTCGTTTGCGCCACACACACACACACACACACCCCTGTGGGGGAGCCACCCCGTCGATGAAGCCATCGCGATATTGAGGGTGAAAGTGGGGGTGTGGGGTCTCCACGCCTTCTATGTGCATACTCTACAAGCTTTGAGACGCGTTTGAGGGAGCTGTGAATGGGGGTGCATGGGGAATGTGGGAAAGACGGAAAGTTTGGAAAAACGTGGAACAAGTGGAGGAATTGGATGTGTAGTTCAACGAGGAAAATTGTTAGGGGTTTCTTGATTGGTAGGCGCACTAGAAAGCGAACGCCATTGGAAATGTGTTTTTTGACTGTCTTCTCTTTTGTAGATGCCAGTTTCTTGTTTTCCCTTTGTTGTTCTTGTTCTTGTTGCCACTGAGTGCATGTGAATGGTGAAAAGATGCGGAAAAACGAGAAAAGAAGCAAAAAAAAAAAAGAGGGGGGAATGAAGTATATGGGGGTGGAGCGAGAACAAGGAGTCGAGGGTTTGTAAAAAAAAATAAAAAAATGGGTTTTTGTTTGTTCGTTTGCTTTTCTTAAAGGGGGTGGGGAGGTAGGGAGAGTTGTATATGGGTGTAGTTTTCCTCCCTGCCCCTCCAATAGTATGTGTGCGCGAAGAAGTAGAATCTTCATTGCTTCTTGTTTGGAGGGGTGATGGCCGTATGTACCGCCGGGCTTATTTGCCAACTTATGTACGCTGCCTTGTAACGGCTCCAGTTTTGTGTTTTGTCGTTGAAGCGTTTTGCCCCTCCTTGCTTTCTTTACACCGCAGCCTTGCCTTCTGTGTTCGGGTGTTCCTGCAGGATGAAATGGCAGCGGAGGTCTTGAAAGAGTATTTGCTGCGCTGGCGACGAGACGAGCGAGGTCGTTCGCTGACCTCAACAGCAGCCAGAACGACTTCGGTAGCTTTGGAACTGCCGCGTAGCTTTAGGCCGCATCGCATCGTTCCACTGGTTTATCTTGGGGCCCTGAAAGACGTGGCAGATGCGTGGGCGTTGCATCAGCGGCTGCTACCGGAGGAACTGCTGCTGACTGTGTCCACGTGCAGCCGCAGCTCCACGCCAATGCTGGAGATGCGGGAGTTGCTTCCGGTGAGAACGCCACGCAAGGCGGGGGTTGCTCCTCGGGTGCAGCGGCTGGCGGTGTGCTCGTGGGAAAGACTGAGCGAGCTTGTCCATAATCTTTCTGGCGGTGCGACGTCTCAAGCGGGGGCGGAAAAGGGGGTGCGGGAAACAGCGGCATGGCTACGGCATTCGCTGGAGTCGAGGTCGTTTTTAGGTGACGGCGATAGCGCGGAAGTGCCATCGCGGGAGACGGCGGCAGGGGGCGGTGGCACTGGGTTGGTTTACCTGAAGCTCTGTCTGCCATGGCGGGATGAACCGGCGTTCCCGGCGCGGGAGCACTTCGTGGTCGCCACCGCACTCATGCAGGCGGTGGTGAATGGGTTGGGGAAGGCGGTTGTGTGCCACTGTGTGGCGGGCGCATCGCGCTCCGTCACGCTTGTGTGTGCATACCTTCTCCGCTGCTGCTGTAGTGGTGGTGACGCGGCTGGGCGCGCTCATGGAGGCGCGGCGGAGGAGGCTGTAAAGACGGTTCTTGAGTTTGTGCGTGAAGTTCGACTGTGTGCATGCCCCAATGAGGGTTTCATGCAGCAGCTGACGGAGTACGCCAGCCTTCTTCTCTCTGCCAACAACAGGCTCACGTAATGCACATTTGAACATACATATGTGTACGGAGCGAGCGAGAAAGAGCAGTGAGGTACACAACTCACCACGTTGTGTAACGTGACTCATGTGAGTTTTTTTCTTTTTGTGGGGGGGGGGGGAGGGGTGTTCTTTCCTTCTTTCACGCACTCAGCCTTCTTTTGTGACTTTCTTTCTACGTGTCTCTCTCTGTTGTGTCCGCATGCATGCACGGCTAGGGAGTTCATGTTTGTGTAGAGTTGACGGAGAGTTAGTCAAACTCTGTCCTCAGTATAGGTAGCGTACGGAGACAAGTGACTTCACAGCCATTCCCGCAGCACATTGGAATGGACTCTAGCGAAATATTATCCCCGGCTACCTCGGCGGTGTCAAACCAGGAGGAGGTGGAGAGCGATGCCCCCAGCTGTTCGTCTGGAGACAGCACGGGGGAGAAGTTTGTCCCTGTGCTTCTCTGCACATATTGTCGCATGCCCATTGCCCAATATGGCGAGATACTTTCTCACCGCGCCACTGATGCCTGGGCGTCGCAGGTATACACGTACGAGTTGGAGCTCTTTGACGACAACCCCCCTCTGTGGTGCTACTCCGCCACCAACCCCTCCGCCCACCGCTTCGACCTCGTGCGGTGCGACGCGGCAATCGCGCTTGGGCACCGGCGCATACAGCTCACTGGTGCGTGGTCGGCGGAGCACACCTTCTTCCTTGGCCACGAGTGGCGCTACGCCGTGTGCAAGAACTGCAACAGCTTTCTCGGATGGGGCTTTCGCCCGAGTTTGCAGCCTTCCAACGACGTCGAAGACGCGGCCGCGGCGCCCGCTGCGGACGCCGAGGCCACTGACGAGGGTCTCAGTTTTGTTGGAATTATTTTGACTCGCTGCACCGGCCACGAGAAGTACCCGTTGGATTTGCTTAAGTTCCGCGAAGTTGCGAGATCCTCGGATGGCCCGTCGTAGCTGCTGCCTTAGAGAGGGACGGCGCTAGGAAACGCTGCAGCGAACGCCCTTCCCGCACCCCCACACCCATAGTCCGGTACAGACACGGCCCTTTGTGTTGGGCCTACTGCTGCAGTTGGTGTTGCTACTGGGCTCACCATCACTCCCTTGTCTTATTGTTGTTGCTATTGCTGCTTCATCGTTTGTGCAAGTGTCTGCATTGATAGTTTTTTGTTATGGGGTTGGCATCCCACATGCTCGCTTGCTCTCCAGCTATCATACACATCAACATACAGACACACACACACACAGAGAGAGAGATATATATACGTATTATTTATATATTTCTGTGTGTTTCCCGCTTGGTGCTGAGTCGCGTGGTTGTACGAGTGCGTGTGTTGCCGGAGAGAAGGAGGGAAATTTGCTCTATTTTTATATCGCTCTGGATGCGTGTGGGCGCAGTCGCCCTTCTTTTAACCTTGTTTTCTCTGCTGTGCAGAAAGGAGCGAGAGTGAGTGAGTGAGAAAAAAAAAAAGTATTGTGCTAAGCCCTTGTGTGTGTTGATCCCAGTAGAAGCTTTGGCATATAAAAATAAAAGACGAAGAGGGAAGTTAGGGCCAGCAGGCGAAGAGAGCGGGGGCACAAAAGAGAAAACAAATCGAAAGAAGCAAACAAAAAAAGGAAAGGAAAGGGGGCGGGAAGAGGAGGATAAGGCAAAGGGGACGGCATGGCACAGAGCTTTGATAATTGGCTAAGTAGTTTGGGCCCTCTCACGAGGTATGCCCTGGGCACCGTGGTGTTGCTCACGGCTGGTGCCTCGCTGGGGATCATTCCGATTCAATACATTCTACTTTCACCCATAGCTCTTACGGAGCTCCAGCTGTGGCGACTCCTCACAGCTGCCTTCTTCTTTGGTGGCTTCTCCTTCCCGTGGCTGCTCTCCGTTGCCATGTTTGTGTCATATGTGAACTACAACGAGACCTACGACTTCAAGGGCAAAAGCGGGGACCTGCTCTGGATGGGGTTCTTCCTCATCCTTGCGAACGCCATGGGTGGCCTCCTGCTTGGGATGCTCATCACCAGCTTCGCCTTGTTGATGTCTCTCTGCTGGGTCTTCTGCAAACGGCACCCGGAGCTGCGCATGACCCTGTACGGCTTCGAGTTTCACGCCAACACCTTTCCCTGGATCCTCCTCGTCTTTCACCTTATTATTGGCCAAAGCATCTTGGAGGACCTTCTCGGCATTGTCGTGGGTCACCTCTTCTTTTTCTGTAGGGATGTGCTGCCGAAGACGCACGGCATCGATCCCCTTTGTACACCCGCATGGTTCCAGCGCTACGTGATGCCGAATGTTGGCCCCGTTGGCGTTGCTACCTTGTACCCGGCCGTTCACCCACAGGTTGGGAGGTTTGCACGCCAGCCGCCAGCCGCCAACGCCGGACTTCGACACCGCTGGGGGGCCGGACATGTGCTTGGGTCCGAATGACGCGCATGCATCGTTGCCATCTTTGGCTGTGTGTGTGTGTGTAACTGCCCTTAGTTTCATTTTTATTGTTGATTTTGTTAATGTTGTTCCTCGTCTTGAGAGCTGTTGTGCGTTGTCCGCTCCCCACCCCACCCCCCTCTCTTGCTTGGACGCGGCGTGAGGAAGCGAGGAAATAAATTTCACTATGAAGTGAGAGTTGGAGCGTCGTCGGGATGCCCCTATTATGGCCTACTTTCCCCGCGCAGGTAGGTAGCATGTGCCCACATAGTGTGGGTTGCTGCTGTAGTACTCTGTCACTGCCAGGCAGGATCGACGCCGACCTTCGTTTTCTTTCTTTTTCCATTCTTGGCGCGTTTACCCCCTTTACTCAGTCGTTCATTGGACCGCTGAGAGAGTCCTTAGGAACTGCGGACACTGCGTGTGTACCTGCAGACGGTGCAACCCAAAGCAAACAGAGTCGTAGGGTATCTGTCATCCGTTTGATAGCGTATATTTTTTCCTCCCCATTCTGCCCGTGCACCACTGTTCTCGTCGCTTTGTGGGGAGTGTGTGGTTGCAAAGAGAAAAAAAAATGGGCTTGGACGGCGGAACAGAAGGTGTCATGCCTCCCGCTGGGGGCTGCTCTTCACAGAACGTTCAGCGTGCTGCGGGGCGAGAGCAGCTGGTGCGTGCTCTCGACGAGTCACAGCAGGTGGCCGTCTGCGAGGACCCCTCGGTGCCGCTTTTAATTCTTGCCGGTGCTGGCAGCGGCAAGACGCTGACGATGGCAAGCCGCATCGCGTACATCATTCACTCTGGGGTGGCGCCGGAACACATTTTAGGTCTTTGCTTCTCGCGGCAAGCTGCGGAGGCGCTGCGAGAGCGCGTGGCCGCCGTGCTGCCGCCCCCTCTGGCGACGCAGGTGCAGCGGATGAAGCTGAAGACCTTTCACGCATTTGGGCTGGAGTGCCTGCGGCGGCACGGTGGCATTGACTTAGCCACGGAGGTGTACGACGCACGACGGCAGCGGGAACTTGCAGCTGCCGTGGTAGAGGCCCACGCCGCCCACCACAAGGGCCTCGAGGCTGTCCTTGCGCTTGTTGAGTACGTGAACAAGGCTAAGACGAAGAAGGAGATGCGTGCCGGCACAGAACTTGATCCCTCGCGACAGGCGGCGTACCTTTTTCGCTTCTACCAGACGATGCTCCATGAGCAGCACCACGCCGTTGACTTTGGCGACCTGGAACAGATGTTCCTTGAGGCGCTGCGGCCGTTGAAGCAGCAGGAGCCGCCGTCGGAGGTGGAGCGGGGCGGTGACAGCAACAGCAACAGCACAACGAGTATCGCCCCGCCACCGCGGCTGCCCTCGCCGGTAGCACTGCAGCTGCGGGCCCAATACACGCACATCGTTGTGGACGAGTTTCAGGACCTGAACGAGGTGCAGCTGGAGTGCCTCGCCTTGCTCGCTGGAGACGCGTGCCGCGTGACATGTGTGGGGGACCCGAACCAATGCATCTACACCTGGCGCGGGGCAACAACGAATACTTTTGAGCGCTGGCGGAGCCGTTTTCCGCACACCAAACTTGTTAGGCTAGACACGAACTACCGCAGCTCCGCGGAGATCGTGAGCGCCGTCAACGAGCTCACGCAGTTGTCGCAGCAGAGCTTTAAGGGGCAGTGCGGGCGCCGCATCATCCTCGTGCGGTGCCCGCACGCCTACGAGCAGATGCTGCTCCTGCCGCGCGTAGTGGAGTTGTTGCGCACACGGGATCGCGGCCTGCAGTACGGCGATATTGCCATTCTCTGTCGCACACGGCGCACGGTGCGTGACGTGGTCGCGGCGCTGGAGCAAGATCATCTTCCCGTGTGTGAACCATGTCTGAGCAGACCCAACTCTATCGCCCTGGTCCGCGCCATCCTCTCGTACCTGCGCCTCTGCGTACACCCGCACTCTAACCTTGACGTGGAGTGTGTGATACGCGATGCGCCCAATCACTTTGCGGCGGCCGCTGCAACAAAATTTATTTTTGCACTGCAGGCTGAGTGCATGCAGCGACGGCGCGAGTTAAGCGCGGCGACGCTACAGTGTGAGGACAGCCACGCGGCGTACTCCTACTACACCATTCTTCGAGAGTTGGTACACAACGGCTTTGTCTACGTGCATGAACGTCTTCGGACGACGAAGCCGCAGCAAAAGTTCCTTCGCACTTTTATTGAGGTCACCACGGCCGCCCACGACTCGCTGGGACGGAACTACTGTGACATTGAGGAGGTAGTGAGGAGTGTTGCGGAGCGAGCGGGTTTTGACGGTGGTGGTGCCACCGGCGTACGCATCCGGCGCTGCGCGGTTGGCGGTAGGAAGCGTCAACGTTCGCCCCCACGATGGCGGCATTCCGCCGTGGTGTGGGACGACGTCATGGGCGACGCTGATGACGAGGCCGCGGCGATGGAGGCTGAGGGAGCCGCGATGTCTATTTCGCAGGTTCTCATTGAGGCGTGTCGCACAGTGCAGCAGCAGGCGTTAACGGAGCAGCAGGCAGCCAGTGGCCATGAGCCGCAGAGCGGCGACACAGACGTGGGGGCGGCGGTGGCCGTCGTCAAGGCGGAATTTAAAGTGAGGAATGACACCTACACTCTGCTGCAGCGTGTGATTGACGAGTTTCTGGCGCTGCTTCCGACAGACGACTTTGGCCCGCTAAAGGGCGGCGGTGTGAAGACGGAGCCAACGTCTGGCGCCGCCGTCACAGTGACAACGGTGCATCAGGCGAAAGGGAAGGAGTGGCTCTCTGTCATTGTGCCATGCTGCTATGAAGGCGAATTCCCCATTGACGCGAGGAGCGCGGAGGAGAGGCGGGTCTTTTACGTGGCCATGAGTCGAGCAAAGCGGGATCTGGTGCTTATGACAGCAGAACGTGGGCCGCCCACCACACGCAGCTACGAGAATGGGAGTGGTGCTTCGGACTGTGAGGAGCAACCGCTACAACTCACGCCCTACCTGCGTTCCCTGCTGCCGCTCATGGAAACACTACCCATGACGTGCCAGGAACCGATGAGGGGAGAACCGTAGACGCAGAATTGCACTGTGGCTTTCATTAAATAAAAGATACCCCACTTATTTTTGCTGTTTGTTTGTTTCGTTCAGTGTCGTTGTTGCTGGCGTTGTTTTGGTTGTTGTTGTACTTCTGGAGGTGCAGCGTGGGAGGGGGGGGGGGGGCGAAGGCAAAGTAATGCATGTGTGTGTGTGTGTGTGTGTGTGCGTCTATGCATACAACTATGTACTTGTCTCTTCTGTGGTGTTCATGCCGCACCCTCCTCGCGCCTCTGCTGCCGAGAAAAGTAAAGAGAAGGAAAGGAAAGAGGTTTGATAACTAATGACAGCGCGCATTGAGCCATCGACCATAAAGGGCTTTTTTGCCGGCTCCGGCCAGGATATGTTTGGGGAACTGGACGCCGTGGATCGTGTGCTGACGCTCACGGGACACTTTGACGCGGGCACAAAGGCCTTGACGGCGCCTGTGCGTGTGGCGTACATTGGCACTGCGGTCTACGACCTCCCCAAGTACAGGGATAAGCAGACAAAGGAGTTTCTGTCGCGTGGCTGCAGCGTGGGTGAGGTCTGCGTAGCGGCTCCCTCCTCGCCCAGCAGCACAGTCGCGAAGGAGGAGCTGGAGTTTTTAAGCCAGGCGCACATTGTGCTGGTGTCAGGCGGCAACACACTCTTCGCCATTCGACGGTGGGAGGAGACTGGGCTCGATGTTTGCCTTCGGGCCGCGGCGATTCGGGGTGCCGTGTTGGCGGGCGGAAGTGCTGGGGCAATTTGCTGGTTCACCTCCGGTCACAGCGACTCGGCCGACCCGACGACGTACGCCGCGGCAATGTTGCGTGCGGCATGCGGCGCCGCCAACAAAACGGGAGGGGCGGCGGAACAGCAGCAGGGGGAGGAAGAAGAAGACAATACGTCGTGGAGTTACATCCGCGTGCATGGCCTCGGTCTATTGCCGGGCCTGCTCTGCCCCCACCATGACAGGCGTGAGAGCAACGGGGTTCTGCGGGAGGAGGACATCGGCAAGATGATGAAGCGGCACCCGACGGAGCGTGGAATCGGTATTGACCACTGGGCGGCGCTTGTGTTGCCGGGCGACGGCACCTACGAGGTCTTCGCCGTGCCTGGCAAGCAACGTGGCACAAACAATGCGCTGCTTCCGGCCGTCTACGTGAAGGACATCGTGCAGGGTGAATTGCGTTCGCTGGAGATGCCGGAACGGGGCCGACTGGGCGAGCTGCTGCGGCAGCCAAGCGGTCCAGTTGTGCGGGATCCCTTTGAGGCGTACTACGCCATGGCGAATCCAACGGTGACAAGCGAGAAGCTCCTATGTCGTTCTCATTGAATAGAGACGTGGGACGCGGCGCTGCCGATGAAGCGGAGGAACAAGACTCGAGTGCACGACGGCGCGTACCCTTGAGGACGCGGCGTTTTTGGTGCGATTGTTGTTGTTGCCCCCACCTCTCAGTGCTTGCTGGGTCGGGGTCTTCCGAGTGGGAGGGGGAGAGGGGGAGGTCGTGTTTGTTGTTCCTCTTGCGTGTGGTTTCCCTTGCGTCGCACGCCTATAAAGCGTCGTTTGCTCACTTGCCTTGGGTGTAGGCGGCGGTGCGGCTGCCTCTCTCGCATGTACATCGCATGTGGCTTCTCACTTCCTTCAACCCCTCATTATTTTGATTATTATTCCTTCGCTTACACACCTACACGCACTGCCAGAGAAAACAGAAAGATCAACGGCAATAAGGCACATACGGCAGCAGCATCCCCATAATCACAAACTTGGGGTGTGGGGGGGGGGTGCGTGCCTTTGTTTTACTTTTTGTTTTGTTGCGGTGGTGAGGGGTTAATCACGGTGCGATGAAAGCAACGAAGCATGAGGATGCAGACCCTCCCGTGAAGCCCTCAGATAATGCAACACCGCCGCCGACGATGCAAAAACGCCAGGGTGTGTCGCAATTGCGGAAGCCGCCTCTGCAGATATGGCAGCAGGGGTCGGACGGCGGCACTTTTCTGATATGGTCTATGGTCGGCATCGTCGTTGCCCTGCTGCTTACGATGATTCTGTCGTGGCAAGATGTGCTGAAGCACTGGCGCACGTGGGACCGGGGGGCGACCGCCGAGAGTGCGCCGCTGCACGCTCCACCGCCACGGAGGTTGGCCGATGACGCGGCGTCCACCGAAGCCGGAGGACGGCAAGGCACGAGGGAGAAGGACGAACCGCAGTCGTTCTGCTACACACTTGAGATGTACAGTGCGAAGTTTATTGCGCCGGTGCCGGGGCGACAGCCTACACCGCAGCACTTTTTCTACCGTTGCGGGACGCGGCTCGTCGACATGCGCACGGAAGTCAACCGTAGCAAGCTGGACCGCTGTGCCGCGGCCACCGCGAAGAGCCCAACAGTGTTTCCCACCTTACGCGTTTTTCTTGCAAGCACGTTTGAGGAGCGGGCACATCTTCAGCAGCAGCGCAATGTGGCAGCCCAAGTCATTCCCCTTGCGAGGGTTAATGACGACTACTGCGATTGCCTTGATGGCACGGATGAATTGCAAACAAATGCTTGTAGCATGTCCGGCGCCGTTCTCCCGCTGGCCCACCTGCGCTGGAAACAGTACTTGCATGCCAATGCACACGTGCAGCTCTACGAGGAGGAGGAGGTGCCGTCCGTGCATCGCACAGCGCGGCTTCTGCGTCGACTTGGTGGCCCTGTGCTCCCATTTTGTTGCCGGAGCGATCCAGAAGTGTGGCTGGCACCCTCACGCGTTGGCGATGGTGTTGTGGACTGTTGCGACGGCAGCGATGAGGTGGACCCTCCACCTTCGCACGACGACGCACAAAACGCAGCAGCAGCGGAAGATGAAGATGAAGGGGTGGTGGAAAGGTGGCTGTCACGGGTTGCTGCCATCGAGCTGCATCTTGACAAGGGCGTGGGAGCCACCAGCCCTCTCCACCCCACTCCAGACGGCGTCCCTCGCACGGTTGCCGGCATGCTGTTAGAGAACGGCCTCACCTCCCTCATGAGTTGTCGCCGTTTGCGGGAGGAACGGCTAAGGAGTGCACGCGCCCTCTACGCAGTTGTAGAGCGGGGTCATGCGACATACAAGGTACGCAAGGCCAACGGCTGGGAACAGTACGGCAAGGCTTTGGTGGAGCGAAGCATCAAGCATCAAAAGGAGTTGCGTGCCACCGCGGAGAAGTTTGAAAAGCGTCGAAACCGCCTTCGCGAGTTTATAAAGGCGACAGGAAAGTCGGACCCTTTTTCCGCTGGTGTACCGTCTGAGGAGCTACAGATGATGGAGGAAATGTACGCCGAGCTGCAGCGGCGAAGTATGCAGCAGAAACACATGGAAGTGACCCTCTTCTTCCGCTGGCTGGGCGATGACTTTGAGTACTACCCGCTCGCGGATGCCAAGTTTCGTGTGCCACTGAACCGCGTGGTGGATACGGCGCAGAGTAGCTCGCAGTTGGTCCGGCGATCGAAGGCATCGCGTCGCTACAATGCCTCATACATGTTTGATGCACCTCCTGCGCACGTGGACGACACGTCCTACCTAGAATTTTTTTTTGTTCCATACCGTTACCTTACCGGTGTTCAAAACCTCACGGCGGAGCAGAAGCGCATCTTTCTACCACACGCCCATGCGCCGGCAGGGAATAATGAGAGCCGGAATGCGTCGGACGCGGATGATGCTGCCATTGGGCCGCAGGTTATATTTGGCTTTTGGCGGCCGGACTACACCGAAGTCGCCGTCGACAGCTTTGGGTCTATTGATCCGTCAGGCAACGGTGTGCTGCGGTGGCGTCTTTTTGTGGCTGACCCCGCTCCTGTCATGGGCGGGGTAGAGCAGACCCTGCAGCATGAGCGGTTTTCGTACAGCAGAGCTCAGCGGCGTGTGTTGCGGCTGGAGAACCCCAACATGCTGGAGCAGATGAAAAACGCGCTGGAGGGCACCTCCGATACCACGACAATAGAGATGCCGCAGCAACAAAACAAACCAGAGCTCGCCTCCGTGCAGATATTTTATGGCGGCATCCCATGTGCGCATGACGACGCCGTTGCTGGCAGCATTCAGGTGGGAGAGTTGAAAGAAGAGGAGGGACAGCGCAATCAGCCGCGCAGTTACGGCCGTGTTGTCTACGTGTGCGCCGAGGAGGATGGTGTCTTGGAGTGGCATCGCAACGGCAAGTGTGCGCATGAGGTGGCCTTTGGAACCCCAAGCGCCTGCATGTCGTGGGTGCTGAAGGCTGCAGCGGCACGTGTGCAACAGGCGGAGAGAGCCCTGCATGATGAATTATTGTAGAAATGTGGCAGAACATCGCACTAATTGCATTTTGTCATTGCCCTTGCAAATTCAATCAATCTTATTTATTTTTACTTGTTGCTGTCACTGGATGTTTATTGACGTTTTTTTTTCCAATTTTATTTATTTTTTGGAGGGGTGGTCAGGGGGTGGATTTCGTTCTATCGGAACCCAAAGTGATACTTCACTTTCTCTCCCTCTCCCTCTCTGTATGTATTTATGTGTGTGTGTGTGTGTGTGTGTGTGAGGGAAACCCCTGCTGCTCATATACGAAAGGATGATGATGCGTAAGCACAGGTCACCTGCGCGTGGCTTGCCTGCATGTATTTATATGTGCGTGTATACTTCTATTGGATCCTGACCTTTGTTTCCGTTGTTGTTTTTGTTTTCTTCATTGGCTGCTTTGTGTGGGTGATGGAGCGACAACCGCCCATAGAGGTAGGAGAGTAGGAAGCACCCGGTCTGTAGCCAGGCAACTATTTGGCGTCGTTTTGCGTGGAGGTTGGCCCAGTATTAAACCGCTCTGGATGAAGGGCGTGGGACACAGCAGTGGCGGCGGCTTTCTTGTTGGGCCCAGGCAGGGGCAGCAAGAGCCGACGGACATGTTTGTCGCCTGTTTTGAAGCTGCCTTGGACGAAGAATTGCGGGGGCAGGAAATCTCTAGCAGCTTCCGCGCCTGCTTTGAGAGAATTAGCTCACCGTACGGCTTTGTACGAAACGAGGGTCTCCGTGACGCTCTGCAGCGGCTGCGTGACTTGTCCCTTGAGGCGGCGGAGGAGGCGGCACTGTCATCAGATAACGCGACTGGCACCGCCGCCGCTGGGAGAAGTGCGGGCCCCACACCGCATCTTCCCTACGATGCCATACGTTCCTCCGTAATGTCACGCGGTGCGGCCGAGTCTCACGCCACGGTGGGGCAACCGAGTACGGCATCGGGCCGCAGTGCATCCTCGGAGCGTACCCAGCGGGCCTTGCATGGGGCACACTACACAATGTCGGTATTTCACCGTGTACTCGTACCTTATATGGATGAACGGGCACGCTGCAACCGTGGCGGACCCGTCACTGTGGAGCTCTCGGAAGCGGCAGCGCTAGCGTGGAACACGCTGAATCACGCCCAGCTAACCACCCTGCCCCCATCGGCGACGCCGGCAAAGAAAAAAGCCCCTGGCATTATCCTCACAGAAGTAACCTTTCAGGAGCAGGAACTGGCACTGCGGCTGCTGCAGGGCCTAAGTTTGGTGGTCTACGATCAACGTCGGGTGATGGCGGAGGGGCCCCTTATAACCTTTCTCGTTGAGATTTGGCAGTGTTGTCTGCAGCACATACAGGCTCTCTTTAGCCGTTGGCGCCGTCTTGCGGCGCTGGAAAAAACGGGAGACACGCCGTCCTCTACCGCCCCCTTGCTGGAAGAAGAGCCTGTTCGGCTTGTCGCGGGTTTAGAGACTGTCATAGTTGCCAGCATTGATGCGGCGGAGGCGGCGTGTCACTACAATCCACTCGCATTGACGCGTATCGTGCAGCAGGGCGGAGTGCGGGCTCTTCTTGATCTGGGGCTTTGTCCGTACGCCCCCTACGACATCCGTTGTGCCGTGTTTGACACTGTCAGTGTGCTGATGCAAGAAGTGGCCCCATTTAGAGGCGCAGTGACGGCGGGGGGGCCAAGCGCCGCCGCTGCTGCTGGTGGTGGAACAAAGGGGGAGGAGGACGAGTTGATTCAAACAATGATACAGCAGGCCATGGCGGGTTCGTTGGGCCGGAAGGCGGCCCCGCCACCATTTCTGATGGACCGTGCGAGTGCGTCAAAGTTTGACTCCGCCGTGCGTGACTGGTTTAGTCAGCAAGGGCTGAGTCATGTGGTGTCGGCGGTGCTGGAGCTGCGCGATGTGCGTGGGACCCCGATTGCTGCGGGAACGATGCCAAAGGCAGAGGTGGCGCGTCACGTGCAGCGTGTGAACCAACTGCGCGAGAAGCAGCTTCAGGCGTTGCTGCAGGCAGTGGACGGCAAGCGGGCAGCGCTGTGAAACACCAGCATTTATTGGGCATATGCGGTTGTTTCCCGCTCGAAAATTGAGGGGCAGAGAGTGGGAGGGAAAACCATACCCGTCACCACCGGAATGGTGCGTCTTTTTTTGTGTGTGTGCTGCTGCTGCTGCTGCTGCTGCTGCTGCTGCTCCCGCGGGTGATGTTGTTCGTTCTTTTGCGCATGCGCTGTCGTTGCCATCCGCTCTTTCCACCCCCACCCACCCACCCACCCACCCCCTTCTCTCTCTTTCTCTCTCTCTCTCTCTATTCAGTCCTTCTTTGCTGCAGTGCACCCACTTTTGCTGGTTGCGTGGATTGACGAAAGGGTACAAGCGCGAAGGAACAGCACTGCATAGCTGCATAGCCAGAGAGAAGGGAAGCGGGCAGGTGGGCGGGCGCGAGGAAAAAAGGGGGGAAAAAAAAGCGTGGGTGTCGGTAACTCGACCTTGCTGACCGGGGGGACGTGAGTGACGCGTCTACCCCGAACACGCAAACGCACGCGCCCGCGCTTTACCTCTCCGTGCGGCTGCGGGAGCTGAGGAGG